TACCGGAGTGCATTTGCGTAGAGAAAGAGTAGATTGAAGCAAAGTATCCTAATGTGGATGTGTTTATCGGTACGAGGCAGAGTTGGTTGGTAGATGTGAAAAGCGAGAAGCTGGAGAGGGAAGAAGATTCGTCCATGTTGCGCGCGGAACCAGGTTCTGTCCTTGTTCAATCTCACATAACAACCATGATTTTCTGTGAATTCCTTATTTTTACTATTTTACGGTGAACGTATAATATGATATTTTTTTCGGCCACCACAAACTGACTAGAATAGATGATTTCACCAATATGAGACAGTTCACACGTTGATTACTTTATCATAGCCACCTGAAGTTCTAACTTATGATAAGTACATTTCTACTTGTGAATTTACAGTTATATTCAGTTGTATAGTCACGATTATACACTTGCTAGGTGGAAATGTCCATCTTCTTTTAGAGAAAAGATTGTCAGCGTGAACAATCCTGTGTTACTGGGTTTGGAGATGGCTAGCAGAAGAATGTAGTATGCGCATTTCATCCCAATTTCGAGGCTTTTCAACTGTCTATCAAACTTTATATATAACCCTCAAGTTAATCTTGGAATATCTCCGAAGCATCCATACTAAGAGCTGACAATGTCAAAACAAAACGAGTATCCTGGCCTGAAATTCCAAAATAACTTTAACAACCATTTGTTTTGAATTTGGATCAATAGAAGTAGTTAAGCCCTTATGAATAATCACCTTGTGATTATCATTGTCACACATGTAATTAAACGGATTATTTGATGTGAATAGTATTCTGAGTTATAATAAGCGTATTTAATAGGTTAAATGCAAGTTATTCTCCACAAACGACATTCAAAAACTTCAGTAGCATTGATACTACTTAATATGATTAAGTAGCATTGTATTCTCCCTAAACATTTTGCAACAGTTATCTGTTATGACTTCAGAATTCCACTATTTGTTTTGTTGTACTAAAGTAATCGATCACCATTGACGAATAAGCTCCTGGAGGGGACGACATTCCTGCTACTCTATTGATCTCTTTTTGGTGTTATTTGATATATTTTGGTTAGTGATAGTATACATGGCGCACGTTTCATCTTGCTTAGTTGTTGAATTGTTCGTGTACATGCATCTGTGATCATGTTCCCAGTATGACTCGAACCCAGAATGACTCATTTTGAACGCTAAAGTATCATCTATTATAGAATATCAACACACGTAATTTTGAAACTTTTACCTTTACATAAACGAATTATTTCTGTCCAGCAACCTAAACATTAGGTATTTGAAAATCTCAATCAATAATAGCTGATACCTACTGTAATGGAGACCATCCTTTTTAACTTATAGTATTATAATTGCACAAAGTTGGCACAGTGTTAGCACACCAAGAGATGTACCACACAAAATAATACAGAACTTCAGACTTGTCCTGTCTTATTGTATGATTATGTGTTAGTGAATGCATTCCGATTGCTGCGTTTTTCTCTCATTAATACTATATCAGTGTTTATAAGGATAAAACCTGGGCACTGTGGTAGAGTATAACTCCATTATGGATAAAATTTTATTTTGATAAAATCATACAGTGTTGTACAGTAATATTTGCTCATGACGATGTTTCGAGCACAAATTATTACTGCTCATAATCATATCAAGGTACTATTCACACAACTTTTTTGCTTCATTTATATACATGAGTAAAAATTGATTAGACATTTGAATAAAATCAATATAAGATAGGATTCAGCCTGCACCAAAGAAAGGACTAGACATATCGCACTAGTTACTAGTGTCCAATTAAATTATCCACTACAGTCCTACAGGAGGTCAGTCGCGAGCCTGAATAGCTCTGTGGTAAAATCTCTGACTACAGCACTGGATAATGCGGGTTCTAATCTCAGAAAGGACATGAGTTCCATTAAGGTTGCAGATACGCCTTGCTGACGACTGCCAACTAGCATGAAACCTAGTTCTAAGGCATCCTGCTGATTGCCTCCAACCATCTAATATCATCAAATCAATGTACACCGTGATATTGAGCTACCTAGAATGGCGGTCACATTGCAAACCTGACTAGCAGAATTCAGTCTGCACCAAAGAAAGGACTAGACACATCACACTAGTTACTAGTGTCCAATTGAAATAATATTAGTGTTATCAGTAAAATACAATCAGATGGCGAATAAAATGTTTTCATAGCAAAATAAATATCTTGTTAGGATGTTATAATGTGAATTGAATACATTTTAACATTATTTATTATCCTCGTGTGATTTGACTGGTGGTAATAATATCTTCCATATCTCTGGTATTTGCATTGAGTCATTTCTACCGCATGTGTTTGGTGTAGACTAGATGAACCAGAATTCAGTAATCAGTCTCTTTCGCCCCCCTCCCTATGTAGTTGACTTAACTCACAGTCAGTGCAATGTATTTTACAAATTATATTATTTTGTTTAATTGGGTCCGCGTTTTTTCTCAAGTATTGTTTTGTAGGGATTTTTTTGATTGCATGGAGGATTTCATCATGAGCTGACATCAGTTAGAGAATCACTGGAAAACCTGGGAGTACTGGACAGCTGTTTCGTCCTAGTTAGGGACTCTTCATCAGTACGCACCCACCACCAGGCTTCGAACCCAGGACCTTCTGGTTATAAGGCGAGCTCGTATACCATTGAGCCACTGAGACCCGATCCAATGATCCTTGAATTCTAACTTCTGCCAATTCATGACATAGCGTGACCATATCGCAATGTCTTCTTCGATGAGTTACTGCCTCATCTTTAACCTGCTGTACTCTACTGGGAAGCCGCGTACTGATGAAGAGTCCATAACTAGGACGAAACAGCTGTCCAGTACTCCCAGGTTTTCCAGTGGTTCTCTAACTGATGTCAGCTCATGATGAAATCCTCCATGTTTTTTTGTCAAATACAATTATTTCATGATGGAATTATGCTCTATACTCAATTCTTATATCAACGTTTAACTATACTCTTAAAACCCTGTTAGATAGAATTCATGGGCCATTGTATTTCATTCGAAAATCTAAAAATAGTCATGGGGTCCGCCTAGTTATCTGAAGGCTGTGCTTTCAACCCCCATTGAATTCTTGTGAGCGTACCGTTGAATAATCCACAAGCTAAGCGGAATCAGCAGTTCAGCATTTCCTGGTATTTCAATCGCATTCTAACTTGATATCATTTCATGATCTAACTACAGATCATTTCAATCCTTGGAAATCAGCATACTTAAATGCTATTTAAGTAATATGATAACAGTCTAAATTCGATAAGATCAACATTTTTACCTATAATCATCGTCATTTTAGTCTAGTCTGAATTATTGTCCAAAATCTGTGCTCTAAAATGTTTGAAATTATCTACAGTTGTATATATATGTTAAGCATATATATGGATATTGTCTATTTGATTGTTTATAAATTTTAAAATTGCTGTATGATGAACTAATTAACTCTAGTCTGTTTAATTTAGTGGATTGAATATAATGTGTTTGAAATATGTGCGTTTAAAATTTTCATACATCTTCACATAAATCTAAATATTACTTCAGTGAAACAGTCACGAATCGGGGCGATTTAATTCTGTCAGACAATAGATAAGTATGGAAAGACTATAAAATATCAGCAATTTCCTAGAAACATTGTTCTCCCATAAAGTCTGAGAGGCATATTCTATTAAGAAACGTTAGAAAAGGTAATCTTATTTAGAAATTCAAAGGAGGAAAGACATACTATGACACGGAAAGTGTCTATAGATGTTTTGGAACTGTCTTCCAGTAAGGAGTCGTAACCGGTAGGAGCCATCAAGTCGGGTGTGAGGACAAACACTCATTGATAACAGTCGGTGGCAGTGGCGCTATGTATAGTGATTTATCGGAATTTAGAATTCACTGACCATTGGATCAGCTATAATGTCCGTAACGAGTTCTTTGGTTTGAGTAATTTGAAAATTCCCATTCAGTCATAGAAAAGAAAAGGCGTTCAGCAAAGAGTTACTCTTTTCGGCGATATCATTCTCAAGCTGTACAAACCGCAAATTTATAGTAATTTTTCTTGGCAACAAAAGGAATATTTCCAAAGATGTGCTAATGCAGTTGTTAATTTTTGACAACAAATTACGTAATTTAGAAGGCGTTAATCGGTTAGAAACTAAAATAAAGTTACAAAAGTAGGTTGGGTGACGTAATCTAATTGCTAGGATTCAATGAAAAATGAGTGAGAGTCAAGTTAATAATCTGAGTAGAATTCACTTGAAAATGAATGAGAGTTAAGTTGATAAGCTGAGTAGAATTCACTTAAAAATAAACGAAAATGGAGTTAGCAACAGTCGTCATGAGGGTAGAGATTTAATAGAGGGTGGGGGTAGAAAATAATGCAATTAAGAAACAGACAAACAAAGAAGAAAGAGGTAAGACAAAATTACGTATTTGGTGTTGAGATAGATCAGGACCATTGTAGATTTAGTGACTGAACAAACTTCTTTTGTATGCAGAGTTCAGGATTCAATATGTGAATTGCCATTGCTTCTGCAGTTTGAAGAAGTTTAATTCGTACTCTTTTGGCAAGACTCCCACGTATTGTGTAGATAACTGAGAAGTTGTTTTGTGGGTTTGCTTGGTGTCCGGATTCGATCAAGTGTTCTAGGATAGAGCTGTGGCGGGGGGATCTTCTTTCTCCTTTATAAAACCATGAAGGTAAGTGTTCGCTGATTCGTTTGGATAGCGTTTGGATTCGTTTGGTTTGACCCCTGCTAGAGTTACGGGCACCCACTGCTGAAGAGACCCCAGTTAGGACAAAATATTGTCCAATAAGCCTTGGTTTTCAATGATTCTCAAACTGATTTCGATTGGTGATGAGATTCTATTTGAATTCTAAAACACAGGCTAAAAATATAGTCTACTATACTCATCTATATGATTAACAAAAACCTTATGAATACCGCTCACTTTCTTGATTGTTTCTACTTCTATTTTTTTTTTTAACAGGTGATATGCGTGTTGATGATTCAGCTTTGACACGACGTAAATACTATTATGCGCTTTATGAATGGAATGTCTGGGGTAGATGCACTTGTTTTGGTCATGCATCACGCTGTAAACCAAAATCATCAGCTGAAATAATTAAACCAGAAAAGGTAAATCAACTTTTTTTTTGTGAATTCAAGTTTCTTGTGAAATGTCTGTGAAATGTGTTAGTCCTGTAAAGTTTACAAGTTCTTTTTGTAAATTCCTGGAAGATATGTTTGATCCATCATCTACATACCAACTTTCATATCCGTTAATCACACTGTATAAAGACGGCATTGATTTGAGAGGGGGAATGTATAATGAATGAAGGCGTCGAGAAACTTTGTTTGTGTCAGGACTGGAAGTCGTGGTCCTCTTTAGGTATCCTTTCACTGATGGAATTATTCACCTGCCATCAAACTAGGGCAGACATTTGTATGAAGACTTTTTATGCAAATGTTAACTTCAGGAAAAGAGAATTTAAAATATTCATGGTACATGAAAGCAGCTATAGATATGTTACTCTCAGTTGGTATTTGGGCCAGGATTAGAGTAGAGTTTAGACAAACAATCAAACAGGTTGAAGCCTTTGATTAACAACTCTTTTCTTTCGATATTGAAGATCAAATGGCTAGAGAGGATAAGCAAGAAGGAACTCTGACATGCAATGAAACAACCTAGAAATCATTTCCCAACAACTATGCAGAGGGATATAGAAGTGGATTGGATATACTGTGATGGAACCATCGAATGATATCAAACTCCAGTTATTCGAATGGAACCTGAATGAAAAGTGATGATTTGTGTGTCCAAGGTCAGTATGGAGGAGACTGTGTCAAGATGAAATGAAAGTTTCTGGGTAACTGTTAGGTTATCTGAAGGTGATCACATAGAATTGAGTGCGTTGAAGGTATTCCACTTGGAATAAAAGGGAGTGAATGTTAATTCAATAAATAAGACTGATGAATTTATTTTAGACCTGACTACTCTTTCAAATTAAGTCTTTTAGTGTATGTTAGATGAAATAATTTAGTTTTTGTCTAATGACTTCCAGATATTGGAGTATTCGACTGTGATTATTTTATTTCATTTGATTACAAACACTTGTTTGAATTTAGTGTGAATTACCGACCCCAACTATCCATGGGATCATCCATAATCATACAATCAGATGAGACTTAGTGAACGTTATAAATGTCAACTTAGAAAAATATAGAGAGAATTTGACAACGGGAATTTTATCTACTTAATATGCCTAACAAAAAATAACAAGGAATTTCGAAAGGCTCACGAAAGCTGATCATTCTGTGGTGAAAGCTGTCTGCACGACAAAATTGTAGAAAAACAATTGACATCAATGTTTACGTCCCGAATCAGAGTCATGAGACAGAACAAGAACAAAGCCTAACCTTGATGAACTCACCAACATATCACAGCAAACTTAACGTGGGTGGATACGATTCGCAGATATATGACCGGATTGTCTAAGAAACGGCCACAAAGAGACGACAGAATAGCCTTCAGCAGGGAGACGACCAATCAGAAGACGTTGCTTCTCTGCTAACAATAACGAACAATAATGTACATAAAAATTTATAAATATCTCTGCCTGGCTCTTGTCTTCTGTTATTACAATTCCAGTTATTCACAAATTTCTCATTTAGTTAACCATTCAATCCTCTTCAGTGACTAGCTTTGTGACAGATCTCTAGGAGCCGTAATGAGAATCCATGACCGATGAATTCATTTAAGTTAGCCAGTGAGGACAATTAATTTGTGATGACACTGGATATCATTTGGTATTTAGAATGAATTAGAAAATGTTGACAGTACCAACTAAAAGATTTTAATCCAGGGGCTGAAAAGTGATCCACCTGGTCTCAAAACATAGTTGTCTGTGTGCATTGTTGTGGGGACTCAAATTGAGACAAGACAGCCGCCTAGCACTCCCCAAAGAAACAAAGCTCATGATAATCCTTCTTGACTTTCAAGATCACAGATTAGGTGTCTTTCTTATCTACTTAGTTAGGTACTAAGTTATAGTTGTCTTTGAATAGAAGAGGTTTCATCACCTCTTTTTCCATGATTCTTTTTCTCTAACTGATACGAAGACTGGATTTACTTCACCCACCAGTGAAGTAAATATTTCCTGGAATTCAGTCTAAGATAAATCCTTGATTTACTGAATAAAACCACATGTGTGACGAGGTATCGTGACGTTTTGTGGCTAGATAACGGTGGTCACATAAGTATCGTTGGTGAAAATTTCCAAATTTGCCTAAACGGTACATATTATCTATCGCCTTTGTAGATAAAAATTAATTTTAGACTAAACAGTTTCTATGATAACTTATGCAAGTATATTTTTTATTTGAAAACAAATATTTAAAGGTATATGGTGTCTGTGAATGTACACATAACACTGCTGGTGAAAACTGTGAAACATGCGCTGATTTCCATTGGAATAAACCATGGATGCCTGCAACAAGAGATGCTGCGAATGCATGTGAAAGTAAGTACAACAATGACACACAAAATGATTGATTAATAAATAATTTTGAATATCTTAATGTTGTACTGCAAGAATGTAGCAGTAACTATGCCAACATGATGCAAATTGTTTTCAATGAAATGTTTAGATTCACATTACTTTGTCTCTGAAATCATCGCCGGTATATTCACATAGTTAAACTAAATAATTTCAGAATCTTTTGAATTTCACTAGCCTTTTAAACATCTTTCGTTCTGTTTATGAAAAAATTGAATTTATACAGGCTGCATTGTATACGTAATCTTGTTGTTAAATGGCTGAAGGCGATTGAGGATGAATAGCTCAATCCTAAGGTTTCTGACTTCGGTATTGGATGGTGTATGTTTTAATCTGCGAGGAGAGGTCAATTCTGTCAGAGTTCTAGACATACCTTGTTGATAAATGACAACTAGCATGAAATCTACGTCTAGGGCTTCCTGTCTAGGTGAACCGCATTGGTAAGCCGCTTGCGCTTGGTGAGCAAACTGGAAAGTTGACTGTTAGGGTTAAGTCAGTAAAATAAGTACCTGACATATGAGGCTGGTTACTCTTTGTTGACCAGTCAACATATATATATATATATATATATATAAATATAACCTTCTTGAATGATTCATGGTTTGGAACTCAACTTTATTATGAGTATTAATATTTACTTTTCTCTCTCAACTCCTAAGAATAATACTGGCAACCTGGATTTTCTTCCTGATGCATCTCAAATGGTAGCTTGTAAGAGCTTCTGATTATTCTAGGAAGGCCGTTTGTTTTTTCTTTGTGTAGAACATTTTATTTACATTCAAAACTAATCCTCCTTTGTGAATACTCTAACTCAAAGGGTAACAAATAAAGGACGCTAAGGCATTGCACTTTAAAAATAGACTTTAGGTAATATCGCCTGCAATCACTAACTGGTTCTGGTTGTCATGTAACTCACGAATGAGTAAACTATAGTTCTCAATTCTGTTCACATTAATAGTCAATGACTGTGTGGATTGATATCACTACATATTTGAATGTTACAGTCACGCTTTTCTCCCTAAGTATAAGATTCGCATGTGGATAATGTAAGATAGTAGAATTTGAGTTTCAGTGAACACTTATTACTTGTTCTATTTTTGAGCTACAAAAAATGTCTTTTACTTGACTGCTAAGTAAAATATGATTAACTCGGCCTTTAACTGGAGCTACCAGTGCAATACATTATACTGATTTTGTCCTGTTTAAGACTCATCAGTCTAATATGTTTGTATTCATTTTGAATACCATTTATTTTGATTTACAGCTTGATTCCACACCGTATTTTCAGTACAAGTGTGGAATTTTCAGCATGGATATCAGTAGCCCAAATTCAGGCCGACCATAGATATCGGGTGTGCGTCGGCAGGGGATCGAACCCCGGACCATGTGCATGGTCGGCGAGAGTCCTAACCACTGTGCCACCGACGCACGACCTCATTATGATAAATAATGCTTACACGAAGTTCATGTACTGACCGAGATGACACATTATGACAAACAAATGATATGAATATATCCAGCTATTAGTGGTCATCATTAGCGATGTATTTTTAGGTTGAACTAATAAATTGTGAATCATCTAAGTAGTTAATTTTCATAAAAATCTATCAGTAGTTCAAAGATTGCAAACGAAGCAGTTTCAGATGACTGAAAACACCATTCTACAAATATAATGATCAAAGAAATAAGACTTACACTGACAATACCAGAATATTACAAAACATATTATATATATATATATAACATATGATAACAGCTGTTCAGTACTTTCAGGTTTTCCAATGGTTCTCTAACCAATGTCAGCTCATGATGAAATCCTGTAGCCAATCAACCAAATCCCTACAAACCAATACTTGAATTTCAATTAGATTGTTATTGTTTATTGTTGTTCCCTTGGGTTCCTAGTGGAACATAGGGCTTCAACTACACGTCTCCACTTGTTTCTGTCTTCTGCTGTACTTTTCACCTGCACCCATGTTAGTCCATACTGTTTCAACTCCTCTTCACACGATCTCCTCCATGTCACCCTTGCACCAACGTCCCACTCGCCGCTTCCCTTTCGGGTTCCACTCGAGAGTTGGCCTGATGCGCGATGTCGCCCAGCGGCCTCTTTGGCGAGTGTCCAATCCATCTCCACTTTCTCCTGCATATTTGCTGAGCGATTGGTTTTGTTTTGTTTGTTCTCATAGTTTCTTGTTGGTGATTCTTTCCGGCCATCTGATCTTGAGTATAGAACGAAGACATCTATACTCAAGATGCTCACTGGTAACTGGGCCTATTCAGGTGGGTAGTTACCTGGGGTTCTAGTGGGACGTCGTGACTGGTAAGGTGCAGCAGGTCAGGTGTGAGGACAAATAGTGGCCGAAGATATTGGCTAGCGTTTGCGCAGAAGTTAGAACTCATGGGCCATTGGATCGGGTCCCAGTGGCTTAATGGTCTACGAGCTCGCCTTGTAACCAGAAGGTCATGGGTTCGAACCCGATGGCTGCGTACTGCTGAAGAGTCCCAAACTAGGACGGAGGAAGCAGCTGTCCAGTACTCCCAGGTTTTCCAATGGTTCTCTAACTGATGTCAGCTCATCATGAAATCCTGTAGCCAATCAACCAAATCCCTACAAACCAGTACTTAAATATACTATTTAACTTGAAATGGAATTTATGCGCAATCATTCTAATTCACTGGAATAACTTGATGAGATTTCATTAACTTTTACTCTCCACTTGTGTGTGCAACAACTGAATCCAGTTATGAATGATTTCATATAAAAACAAGTCAACCGTATCTGACGCATTTTTCATGTTATCTAAGGTTCATTTTGAATCCTGGTTGAATAGCCTTTGTCAAAGCGCTTTGATGTTATATACGTGTACACTGGTCAAAATATTCCGAATCCAGTCGTGATAATGAGCACTGGATTAGAATAAAACTTGTTCTTTACGTTTTTGGACTAATGGCCTACTGAATCTAAATTTAGTAATAAACATGAAGTTGATCTGCATCTGAGTAGACAGTTAATTTATGCATTGTGATGTAAGTCCATCATAAATTCAGGAGTTTCAAGAAATAAACCAATCCATGCCACGTCACCAGACAGTACAAGACAATGATGATGTAAATGCCACAATGTCTTCCTATTATCTTAAGGATTCTGTTTATTTTCCGGGTGGATAACATGTTGTTTAAACTTAGCTTCCCGGGGACAGATATTTCATGGGATAGGTTACGAGCCACACTTATTGTGTGAACCATGATGATGCTACCCACTCGCTAGGGATGAAGTAGATAGAGTAGGATTCGGGCCCACATCTTACTCGTCTGAAATCGAGTTCATAGGCTAATATAAGATGCATTTTCTCTTAGTTCGGTACAGGTTTCAGAAAGCATTTATACGAACTGCTAATGTAGTGATTCTCCGTCCAAACCATTGAAATTAAAATAATTCTTGATTCTTTTATTTAATGGATCAGTGATCATAGAATAAATAAGAAATACACTACAAGCAATCAAAATTTGATTGAATCAAGGAGAATACGAAGTGAAATTTTTCGTAATCCATTAAACTACTAACAAATACATTTTAGTAGGTTAAGAAGTTCAGTGATTAAAAATCTTCCTATTTTTTATCAAATGAGCTTCTCAATAAATCCGAGATGCAATCAAATTTATCTAAATTAAAGAGAACGCTAGTGATCATCTGATTCTCTTCTACCGTGACTGTGTAGTTTAGAGTATACGAATTAAAAGTATGCAGCTAGGCATTAAGTAACAGTCTTAGGGATCCTACTGCAGTGACTGTATTAAGAAGCTTAAATTTATCGATTTTTGTTATTGTTAATTTATTTTGCTTAACTCATTCGGGTTCTATGGAAACGGACTGAGCATAAACAAATATGATGCCGTCTGAAATAAACGATAAGCCAATTAATCATCTTTCCCTACAAATTGTTCAGTTTATATTTTTTCAAGGAATAATCGTCTTACATGTCTCACAAGTACAACCGTAAAATCTTTACTCTTTATTTACAAAGCGTAATACTTCTAAGAAAAAAACGGTAAAGGGTAAGGAAAAGTACAGAGTGAACGGTCAAAAAGAGAAAATGTACAATATGGACATCACGTACTCTGTGCCAATTCAGAAACCACAATTTAATATCATTGCATATGAATGAGTAGATCCTACTAAAAGATGCAAGGTAGAGGAATAACAGGATGAGTAGGCAAATAAAATCAAAACGTTACATAATATGGTGTGAAATCTGACAACATAGAATTCAACCTTCCAAAAATTAAAATTTGATTTAGAATGACAAGTGGGACAAGTGAAATAATGCCGAAGACAATTCAAATGAAAATAAGTGAAGAGCATACAAATTGAATAAACAAACTGAAAAATAGGTAGATTCAAAATGTTGAATGGGGATTATCATACCTTAGCATAGAGAGAATAGGACCATGAGAGTTGAAGGGGTTGAACAACATTCTTCTGGCTTCTCTATTGCGAAGGATCTTACAGTCCCTGATATGGACATACCCTATAACATCATTGAGAACAACGTTTTCTAGTCGGCCATTACTGTTCAATAACCTGATGGATAAGATCACGCAGCTGACCAACTCTGTCCTCGTTTATCAATTCCCCTGCTCGAATCAGGCTAGGTATATCGATCGTTCGACTCATGTTTTGTCCAAGAGGGTGCAAGAGCACTATCCTGCTTGGTTACTAATAGGTGGGATTGGAACTATAAGAAGTGCAGCCAGTAAACATCTGGTCGACATTGGTCACACTATCTCTATAGTTAATTCCTTTAAAGTCATCTAAAAGATGAAAGATAATTTGCCCAAATCATTACGTATCCAATTTATCTGTATTACTGAGGCTTTGAGCATCGAAATAGAAAAGCCAGGAAAATTTTGTTCAGCCCCTCTAACTCTCATGGTCCTATTCTCTCTATGCTAAGATATGATGATCTCCATTCATCATTATGAATCCACTTATTTTTCAGTTTGTTTATTCAATTTGTATACCCTTCACTTATTGCGTCAATTGTTGCTGTTATTATTTCACCTTGAATTGTCTTTGGTATTATTTCACTTGTCCCACTTGTCATTCTAAATCAAATTCTGTCTTTTGTTGGGTTTAATTCTATGTTGGCAGATTTCACACCATATTATGTAACGTTTTTATTTTATTTGCCAACTAATCCTATTACTGTACACCCCCCTTCCTATAACTATACATCCAAATGAATGATACTCATAAGATAATAGAACACACGAAAAATAAACAGATAATGAGAAGTTGATCTACAGAAATGCAGATATAATAAAGAAAATACTATTACCAATTGTAGTGACCGAAATCCGAGTATTCTGGTCCTATATCAGAAAAATAATCAACGAAACCAAGTGGATATTATCCACATGATTTGTGAAGTTCTTCTCTATATGGTTAAGCAAACGTCTGTGTGTCGCTCACAATCAAAAATTATATCCCACTGATATCAAAACACGAATCAGAGTGAAAAAAAGTCAGTTGCACCACTGAACACTGTTAAGTTATATCAAAAATACGAAAATACGTCAGCAATAGTGGGAGGTATATTTATACAGTCCAAAGTTTTCTTAGGTACAAAGCACCCACTAAAAGGAGCAGCGATTACTGACCAAATGTGACTGTAAAACAAATAACCGGGGATCAACAAGAATATTCCTAACAAAATGAAATCAGAAGTCTATCTATAGATAGTCCAACCATTCAAATTAAATCGCAGTAGTAAAAAAAACCTTATTATTAACAGTCAAGTGTCACACAATAGCAAAGTGAAGAATTAGGAATCGGAATCAACCAAAAACAAGGAAGGGGGTGACATGGAAGGGATAGTACCGGGGGAGTAGGGAGATGAGAGACTACAGAGGACCGCAGGGAATAGGACAAGGTAGAGAGGCGCTTTTGAAGCCCTATGTTCTACTCGGAACTCGATGGGAACAAAAATAATAATAATAATAAACAAAGACACATAATAAGGATTGAGTCAAAAGAAGACATACAAGCGTGAGGATGACCATACTCAGGTCAGCGGTAAAGGCTGATAGCTATAAAATTAGTTGAAATACTTAAAAAAAAGTAAGGCTACCGTAGATTATCTGTTCAAGAAAAGTTCTTAGGTGAATTATTTTGCTAAACTACTTACTAAATTAAATAGTTTAAGTCTTGAAACACACAAACGGAAAAGATACGGAAGATACAAAATACAATACCATACAAAATAATACAATATTATACTGTATGCATCTCAGTATTATCTCACTTTGTTTATTTGTTAATTTACCTTACAGAATGCAACTGTAACAATCATGCTACAGCGTGTTTCTTCAATCCTGTCTTATATATCAAGTCTGGTAATATATCCGGTGGTAATTGCCATGGTTGTATGCACAATACAGAAGGTGTGAACTGTGAATTCTGTCAACCGAATTTCTACCGTCATCCAAGTTATCCAATTGATCATCCGTTAACATGTCAACGTGAGTCAGTATTTTCTCTTTTCTTTACATTTATTCAAGAGTAGAATTATTGAAAGAGGAAATTTTCTAAATGGATCAGGGATTCATGCCTAGATGAATATTTGTCCTACTTACAACCACTCGATTTTCACTGATAGTCTTCTGGGAAAACGTCATTACTAGTGTCCATAATTTCAATCTCTACCATAGATGGATCGTCGAAAACGTTTACTCAGAGTGGTTGTGTCTTTTAGTCCTGTCGGACCAGACTGATTCTAGCCACTCTTATACTAACGTGTAAGCACTTTGGCTTCCAAAGGCACACACACGCGTACTAATTGTGCAAGCAAAATGCATAATAGTCAGTTATTGATGAAAGAATACTTTCCCGTTAATACGTAAAGAGTCATGAAGAAGATCAATAACAAATACGACCTATCGAAGCAACCATCCAGTGTTTAGATCACTTCCATCTCCTGAGCAAACACTAATCCCTTGATGTGAGTAGTGTCTTTCACCAACTCTTGCTTTCTTGACTACCATTTACGGTATCAAGTAGATCACATGCTGTGACCTGAATATTTTCAGTTTACAAAGAAAAATACCAGTGCGTCGGTGATCTGGCGATAGACTGCTTGCCAACCAAGCATGTGTTTCGGGGTTCGACCCCCGAGTGACGCACTCCTCTACCTCGTTAAACCTGTAATAATAAGACCGGTAAAGAAGGAAGATTGGCCATAAGGCTAGCAACCACACCCAGTAAAAATAAACGTCACTGCTAGTGAAACTTCAAGGTTCTAACTTGAAGACCTGTGTCCCACTAGAAACGTAACGGAATAAAATAAAAATAATAAAGGAAAATGTGATGAAACTACACCTTTAACTGTGGTGAATTTGATTTAACAAATGAAAATACTATAAAAAGTGAGCTCTGGATAATTATAACACCCAGGCTAGGTAAATATGTTTAAACTTCGTACTGTCCTTTTATAAACTTCAGACGCCAGACCCATGAGTGGACCGCAAATGAGAGTTGATGGAAAACATAGAGAAAACGATGTTAAGGTGAAATGAAAACTTCTGTGTATCCGTGGAGCTAGGTGAGAATTATAATTAAAAGCCGAGTGGAAGAGAAATGTGCCACAGGGTCAGTCTATTCCCCTCACAACTCAAGGAACGAGTAAAAGTGATAACTTTTATGACTAGTGGACTTGTGGCCATCAAAACTGACTAGTTGTGGTCTACACGCAGACAACCAATCCATGCGTCCTACTCAATAGCTGTCCGAAACTTCCTTTTTTTATTTTAATTACAGCTTGATTCCACACGGTATTTTTAGTACAAGTATGGAATTTTCAGCATGGATATCTGTAGCCCAAATTTCAGGCCGACCATAGATATCGGGTGTGCGTCGGCAGGGGATCGAACCCTGGACCATGTGCATGGTCGGCGAGAGTCCTAACCACTGTGCCACCGACGCACAGTCACAAAGTGCTGAAAAGACAGCAGAAAAACAACTACTTGTGAATGGGATCTATGTGTGGTTTCCATTCAACAGTAATAATATCGAAATCTCAAAATTACCCCAGCTATGCAGGCAGTTTACCTTTTTAAGCACAAAACAAACACTATGGAACAAAATTAGTTGACCAAAATTCAACAGTAAGAAGTGCCTTAGAATCAAGTAGAATATTCCCAACAAGGTGGGATCGAAAACTCTGTCCACAATAATCATTCACCAACGCTTCCCACAGGCAGTCAAAGATCAGAATGACCTTGATTAACTCAAACAAATACACATCATAAACAACACATTATCAATGTATTGTAAGACCACAAAGAGAAGCAAAAAACTAGAGATTAAACAAGTGCAGAGATAAATAATGAGGATCAAGTCGAAATATGATTTGCAAATATCAGAACAATGATGTCTAGTCCAGGAGAAAACGGATCATAATTACACAGTCAGTTGAAACATCCAAATAAGTATAAATATTATGATGAGATATTTCAGAAGGGATTTTTCATACAATCTTTGCCTCATACTACTAGCTGGTCATAAATCTCAAGATCACTTTCGATATTCCAGGAGGCTGAATTAATATATTAGCAATCAAATGTAAAGTATGGATGGTAATCCTCAAAGTGCATACCTGACAGTGGAGACAAGTTGAGAGATGAAATACCCAGCAAGATTGCATACTGAGGTCTGAACATTTCCAGTTTTCTAAAGAAATAGAGATGAATTTTTTTTCATTTTGAACTGCACGTCACGCAAACAACTAATTCGATGCTATAGATACCAATATTCCAGAAAATTAGCTGTGTAAGCTGACTCAGTCTATGTGAACCGGTGATTAACTTAAAGCAATCGGAACCTTTATTTAGTATTTCAAACACTTCGGTCTCACTAGCAAGCTCCATGACTAGTTTCCACGTATTGTGACTAGTATTTCATTCAGCTATGCTCAATAAGTGTGCTTCGGTGGCATAGCGGCTAGGATGCTCGCCGACCATGCACATGGTCCGGGGTTCGATCCCCGGCCGACGCACTCCTAAACCTCACTAAGCCAGTATTAAAAGTGGCAAAGAGGGAAGCTTGGGCATGAGGCTAGCAACCCAATCCCGTAAATATAAGCATCACTGCTACAGAAACTTCAAGCCACTAGCTTGAAGCCCTATGTTCCACAGGGAACTTGAAGGAAAGAAAAAAGCTCAATAAGTAATATAATAGAATAATATATATACATGAAATACTAAACTGTAATTGGTGCTATTTTTCTCCTTACACCTCTTCTGTCTTACTTATTCATTCAGCTTGTAATTGTAATTTGGATGGTACACTATACGATAACTTTTGTCAACAGTATACCATACCAGAACAGGGTACAGTTGCTGGTCGATGTATATGTAAAAAGAATGTTGGCGGAGATAAATGTGACCGATGTAAAGTTGGATTTTGGAATTTTCAAGCTGAAAATCCTGATGGTTGTGAATGTAAGTTATGACAAATTATATGAAATTATGTATATGTGAAATATTTTCAAATTAACATCATTCCTAAGCCGACAGATTTCATAATTCATTGGTTTATTTAAAACAAAACAAGTTGAGAATGGCCTATATAGAACAGCTTGAAAAGTTAAATTTCCTTCAATCTCTTGTGTTTTAGTGTGCAGCTATACATTTGTTTTTCATTCCCACTTTTTGCGTGTTTCAGATTAATTTTAATCATTCATGATAAAGCAATTTTCTGAAGGAATGTCGTAAAGGAATACTGTAAAATTGATCTGCAAAATTTACTAGATAAAGAAGGTTACTTATCAAGAACGTGTTGACAACAAGTGTATTGTTTTGCTGAGATAGATGATTTTCCTTTTTAGTTCTTTCCTGTTTCCTAAACAAATTACTCATTAAATAACAATAATGTTCAGAAGCATCATATCCTTAGCTGTTCACTTTCGCTAATACAATCTGAAATCTGAAAGTAGATTGTTGCTACTGTGGTGAGGTGTGTTTGCTAGCCAAAATTGGTAGACAGCAATTTACATAAATGTTTACTTCCCATATCTTGGTCATGAGAAAAAAACAAAAACAAAGACTAACTCAACAACCAATCACAGCAGACTTTGCGTGGGCGGATACGATTCGCAGATATATCAACGGACTGTCTAAGAAACGGCAACAAAGAGATGACAGGATAACTTCTATTGCGAAAACAAGCAATCAGAAGATGTTGCTTCTCGGTTAGCAATAACGAATAATAATGTACATAAAAATCTATAAATATCTATTGATTTTCTCAATAAACGATCTCCTTCCTGGCCCTTGTCTTGCGTTGTTACAATATTACTGATTAGTGTTATGTTAAATGGTAGGAGACGATTGGCGGGAACGGTAATTTTTAACAAGGCATATCTGCGACATTTTGGGAACTGATGTCTTATCAGAGATTCCGACCCACATCATCTAGTGACACAGTCAAGGACCACATTTCCGGACTAACTGACAGAATTCACTGAAGAGCAGCACTAGAGGCTAAACGCATCATATTGCTTATTCTCTACTGACTAATTAGTATTATTACTGTGATATTTTAAAATTCCAGAATTTCCAACAGGCTTCAGACTTTTATCAACATTTACCTTAACTTCATATTGAAGGTCAAATTACTAGAAAGAATTAGCAACAAGAAACTATGGGAACGAACCAATCAAGTAGTTACCGCTCAACAAATATTTCGAAGGAAATGGAGATAGACTAAGGAGACCGTTGGTTGATATCACGTGCCAGGCCATTGCTTGATTGAAACCCAAATGGGAAATGATGAGTTGGGTGTAAGAACGAGAGTGACATGAAGGCGATCATGTAAGGAAGAGGAGGAGTTGTAAGCCTATGGGCAATTGTGAGGTCGGCTACAAGAAAACTGCAGAGAACGGGACAAAATGGAGACTTGCTGTTGAAGCCCTATGTTCTGTTAAGAACCCAAGGAAATAATAATAATAACATTAAATACTGTGATATCCACTTTAGAATTTCTGAAATTATTCTCAGGGAATTACCATATTTGTGCATTTTACATAAATCCACGGAATTGTCTTTTGTTTTTCATTGATTCGAAGCTTATTGAAGATTTGTCTCATTGGGCTTTTTCCTGCTTGAACCATCCCTATGAATTTGGGTTTGTAGTTATTTGGATCAATTTCAAAATGGATCTTGGAAAGGATTGAAATTAGTAGAAGAAACCTCGAGAACAACTATCTGTCCTTCAATTCACAATCCATAAGATATAAACCTTCTTACTGACCTCATAAACTAAATACTGTGGGTTCAATCCCTGGTGAGTTGGCTAGTAAGCAGTACTGAAAAGTTTCAAATTGAAACAGCTGACCAGTGAATGTAGTAGTAGTAGTAGTAGTAGTAGTAGCAGTAGTTCGTTGTTGTATTAGTCACTTTTACTCGAAGTGACTTCTTGGGCCACCAGGAATACAAATCTGCTTTACTTCTTCAAGTGAAAGTCATTTTGACTGGTGATTAAACATTTACGGTCCACAGTTTGTCATTTTTATCTGTATTAAATCCAAATTTTTTTAAATCAATGTTTAGCTAATAATATTTGCAATTACTATTTCTACAGCTTGTTCTTGTAATATGATTGGTACAATTGATAATGGTGGTTGTGATCCATATACTGGATTGTGTACGTGTAAGCGATTTGTTGGTGGTCCGAACTGTGATCGATGTCTGGTCAGTGTGTTATGTATACTACTATTTTATTATTACTGTTATTATAATAATGACACTTATCATCACCACTATTGTTACTAATGTTTTACTATTCAGCTAGCTCTTCCCTTGAAATGTGATAAACAAATCCGTCAGTTTTAGTACCTGATGTAAATCGTTGATTACAACAGTTTCAGAACAGAGTTTGTTGGCATCCATATATTTTGATGTGGTTGTGTTCTCTGAGCTGGATAGTTAATTTGCGAAGCTTTCATCCCCCTACTAGGCGACATCTTCAGCGAACTATTCAATTTGAAGTGAGCTTTTAGATTTCCCCACGAGTTTATTAATCATCTATCCTGGTGACCTTGGAAGTGATTGGTTGTTTTTATGTGTTTTCACACCTTCTAGGTTACTTGTATTGTAACTCATTGTTTCTTTGACTTGAACTTTGGCCCTTTGTGTGTGAGGTTTCTTTCTTATCGGTAGTAGGGCGATGAAAGCTTCGCAAATTAACTATCCAGCTCAGAGAACACAACCACATCAAAATCATCCACCTGAGCTACAAATCTTCTCTATCATATCTGCATCCATATATATTATATACCAACCGAAAAGTATTAGATAAATAAAGCAAACTATGAAGTTGTGAAGCTCCATCCATTGAGGTGGCTGCAACATACCAAACCAAAAACTTTCTCGGAGATTAATACTAGCTAGCGTAGGAATGGGTTGATAAAGAATCAGGTGTGTCTAGTTGTGGTACCAATATGTAGCTGTGATTCTCAGAATTTTAAGAATCAATGGTTTGAGGTTGCATGTGTGGAATGGCTAAAACTCTTTAGCGTTGATACACAGGTGTGATATAAGGGGATTGTTGTCTAGCGTCTTACTTCTGACTCTTTAACATTGATGAATTTGATTTTTCTCATTCTCGAAGGTATTTTAGAGCCTAAATTAAAATTTTAGTGAATAAACGATGTGTTTCTAAAAAAAATTCGAGACATTAAGGCCTTCTTAACCATTTTGAACAATGCGATAACACCGAATGAAGCAGGATCATAGGGATGCATTTTTTATGTCGTTGGTATCTTATCAGCTGCGTGCAACCTGAATAATGGAGGTCAGTAGTCTCATTAAAATGCTGATATAATTAAGTTCATTGGATATAAAATGTTGAACCATGGGAATCATTACGATGTATAGATGAATATATATGGGTAACCACTGTATTTCTAATCAGAATCTTAAAGGTATTTCTGCAGCTATGAATGCTTATGAACCAATTTTATGATAAATATATAAACCTTATATTGATCCTGTTATGCACGAGAATAGTACTGCTGTTAAGACTCGATAACGTCAACAAATTTCATATGGGTTGGCATAACTGCCCCCAATAATGCTGTGACTTGGTTTCCATATATGGGAAGGTAATAAGTACCTTGTGTGAAGCCTGATTACCAGTATCTATTCCCAATGAATCCTTACCCGAACAGCCCACAAAAAAAGATAGAAGTTAGGCTAATTCTAACATGCGAAAACTACTGGCTTTTTATTCTATAAAAATACAAATATTATGGGCTTCGGAAAGTTAAGCCAGTAAAGAATTAACCTAATTGGTTGCAGGCTGTTTTGGGTTTAAAGTTGTTCAATCACATTGCGATAAACATTCAGCCTCGGCCTGATGGTTTAAATTTCTTCAGATTGGTTTCAGAGTGCTGCACTCAGCTTTAGCTGGTTTCAAGGTAAAGTAAAATCATGGATATGTTACTGATCCTAAATCGTGTAACACAAGTTAAACATTTATGTTTTTACGAGTTGATCATGGATTGATATCAGTTAGAGAACCATTGTAAACCAGGGAGTACTAGACAGCTGTTTCATCCTAGTTTTGGAATCATCGGTAGTACGCAACCACTGGGATTTGAACCCAGGACCTTCCGGTTACAAGGCAAGCTCGTATACCATTCAGCCACTGGGACCCAATTCAATGGCCAACTCATGAATTCTAACTTCTACCAATTCGTGATTTAGGGCGACCCCAACCATTGTCGTTGGTGGGACATCCATCCACGCACGTGACATCTAATTGGACCTCACTGGTCACGACTTCTCACTAGAACTCCAGGAAACTCCATCCTGTAGCAAGTCACTAGCGAGCATCAGATTAATTTTCTATAGTTTGATTTGTAAGGGTTAGTTATACTTTTACGAGTTGATCACGGATTGATATCAGTTAGAGAACCATTGAAAACCAAGGAGTACTGGACAGCTGCTGTTTCATCCTAGTTTTAGAATCATCAGCAGTACGCACCCACTGGCCTTGTAACCGGAAGGTCCTGGGTTCAAATCATTTATGTTAGACTACCACTATTCAAATAATTAATTAACGGATTGATTGCTACACTGGAAGGGGAGATTGAAAAAAGTAATGCAAAAATATTGATTGCTTCAGTCAAAAACAAAGAGTACATGGAAACGATGGATCCAATATACGTCGAAAAATGCCAAGCCGAGACCAAAGGTATTGTCAAGACATCCTCTTTAGTAGCCTATAGGCTAAATGAGACCAATATTTTGAGTCAATGTAAACAAGCAATGGGTAATTCACAATTTTTGATAAATTACTGGTTTCATTTCTGACAGTAATCAAGACCAACTTCATCATCCCTAAAATTTTATCAAATGAGGAATATTAAATCACATTGTTTTTGACTAGTATGACCAGAGAGAACATGAGTCTATGGTAGTCTACATTCCATAGCTGCCGTTGCTAGAATTCAGTCATGCGGAATCAAATTTTCATGTGCCAGGCTATGAGCCTAACTTATAGTGTAATGGCTAATGATACTCTCCAGTTGTCTAAACTGAAGTGAAAGTGGATTTGAACGTAAAACCTGTTGACCAAACGTCGAGCGTTAAGCTGATTAGTCACATTCCACAGCTACACAGTTTCAACACTGTGTGGTCATCTACAGATGTATACCATAGGTACGAACACATACGAACAACAACAAAGACACTATGACACAATGAGCGAATAAAGCCGAAATAATATTGATTGGATTCAAGAACATGGTCTATATTTTCTGTGTACTAATTCACCAGTATAACTCATGTTTTAATTAGTGACTTTTTAAACTAAAATTGATTTTTCACCAATGGTTTTCACTTATTCTTGAAGAAACTGAAGTACACTTAAGTTGAGTCACTATGGTACTCATTTGGGAGGGTGGTACTTGAAACTAGAAGTCAATTAGAAGTGGACTAACTAAGCTACATGGCTTAAATACTAATCAGGTTATAGTTTTACTTCAATCACTGAGGTTTCCTGTCAGCTGTTATGTAATTAAGTGGTATATATCTATAATAATAATAATACCAATAATAATCAAACTAGCTGTCCATTTGAGTGATTTCATCTCATTTCGTTTAAGTTTCATATAGGGAGTTAGGCTGAGATGAAGTAATATAAACACACTCACGTTTACAGTAATCATTCTGTGTTTTCTTTTTCTTTTCTCAACAGGAGGGTTATTTCAACCTTTCAACAGCACCATTAGGTTGTCAAGAATGCGCATGTAGTCAGATTGGTTCATTGAATCCCAATTGTGATCGAGTCAATGGACAGTGTGCTTGTAAAGTTGGTTTCACTGGACGTGATTGTAGTCAAGTTGAAGATGGTTATTATATTGTTCCACCGCATGAAGTGATTTCTAAACCAGATGAAAAAGAGATCACATTAGTTGGACCTAAAGGTGAAGGAAAATATGTGATTGTTCTTGATGTTGATCCAAAACAGGTGAGTGATCAAATACTGAATATGGTAAAACTTTTGGTTAGAACACATAAAGTTACGGCATTTGTATTATAATACAAGAATGCATGCTTATTTACTTATCTTAGATCTACAATGGAGAATCACAACATAGTATTTAAGTGATGGGTTTTTCCTAACTGCTGTCAAACTATAGAACCTGCTTCTCTGCTTATGGCCATCAGTGTACACATCTGATTTTGTGCGTTGATTGAAATCAATTGATAAGATATACAACAAAATATGTATGATTGCCTGTCATAGTTAAAATAACATAGACATGATTCATAGATTTCAGTCAACACAATAGACTAAACAGCTATACTGATAATCATTTGCTGACTGGTTAACATATGTTGTCTATTCACAAGGTGATTCTGTGTAACTTTAAAAGAGAAGGGGTAAGTCTCTCAGTTTGTGTCACACAGAGAATATGAGTTTCTAAGTCTGCTTTGCTGACGAATATCAACATGTTCATGTTTTCTCAAGTAGTTACATAGTACTCATTGATATAAGTAACCATTCCTGCCAGTCTGTAGTGCTGCTAAACTAGATCAGGGTGATCTAAACACCTTTGGATTCTGTGTGGAGCGTCAGGCTTCTGCAGCACATTTCCATTTTACTCCTTTCCCTCGTTCACTATTTCGCTGGCTCCATAATTGTTAATAAGCTTTCATTTCCACTTCATACGATCTTGTCCATGTCACACTAGGACATCTGAGTCGTCTTTCCCCATTCGGGTTCCATTCTAGAGCCTGGAACGCTATGTCAGTCAACGGTCCATCCAGTGTTTCCAATCCATCTGCATTTTCTTTCGTATAGTTCTGCCTCAGAATTTGGTAACGTTTTAGATTTCAATTAGCTGAAGGTTGGACGGTGTGTGGGAAAAATGATGATACTTATCACGCATTTGAATGTTCCAAGTGTTTTGTCAAAAATATATATTCTTTAGCAAATTTATTGTTGAAGACGTTGATCTAAGTATTGATATGAGTCACGATGAAGAAGAAGCTCTGTTTCATCTGTTTCTTCGCCTTCTTATCATTCGTTACTCTGTGGTTTCTGAAATCTTCATGAAAAGCTTGTTGATAATTCAGTTTTAATCTATGCCGCTCGATGACTAAATTATCGAATTATCACTGGAGGCATTGTGAACACTGACTGATAGTCTGTACACTTATGTAGTTCTTCCTAAATTGATGACAAAACAGATTAATAACACTGTTTATTCAGATGATGTCAATTCGCAACGTACGAAACTATGTTCATTACATTCATACAGTAAACTGCACAGATGGGTTACTTCTACTCAAACAGGAAAAAAACTTGTATGTTCATTTTGATACTATTTCCTATTATTGTCCTGTGAACATGTGCACTAATATACACATATACTCAATCAACGGACAGAATACTTCTTTAAATTAAGGATAAAGTTTTTCATTTTAAAAATCCCAGTTCTAAATTTTCAGTAGACAACATTCAGGTGCCGTTTAAATCACCACAATTACCAGTTGCAATAAGATAACCAAGTCAAAAGATTGGAATGCTCTCCACTGTAAGCTAATGGAATATTGTAGAAAGTTTATTTGGATAGAATTCCGATTATATAGTAATAACAGCGGAAAATTCAACGCACCACATTATGACATAGCTGCTGCTTACTGCTAAACTTACAAATTTAACCGAACAGCTTCGACGTTTAAATTTAACCGACGAAAGTGAGCTTGAAGATTGTTGAACATAGAAGCTTCTTAGTCTGTCATTCAATGATTAAGAAAGCCTATAGAAAAATTCTTTGTTAATTAACATCCGCATCCAAAATCAAAAAAATCCAAGCTCCATAAGACTTCGTAAAAGAGGGCAAACTAGCTGATATTTTCGAACTTAATTATTCTTCATATGGGATTTCAAAAGCCAATAAAGAAAATGAGAAATATGTCTATTAAAAGTGATCTTGCTCTATTTTATCATGGATAAAACAAGTTGTATTCTTACCCGGAATGTTACGATGTAGGCTTAATATTGAGGCTGTGACAAAGATTTACTTCAAATCCTTTCCTGTTGGACAAATGGAGGTCTATACAAGAACTATAAGAACGAACTTAAACGTTCTGAATAACCTACTACCTAAACATTAGAAATAGGAATACAGTAGGCTGACAAAAAGATCCTAGAAGACCTCGACTTCGCGGATGATTCAACCTAATATGCCACAAATTCCAGGATATTCAGGATATTCCAACAAGTTGGCAAAAGAGGCAGCGAAGACAGGACTCTAAGTGAACGTAGAGAATATAGGAGTGATGTAGGGACCTAACCAACAACATCAGCATGAAGTATGAATCACTATCAACGGGATCAATCTAAAAGAAGTCATTTCTTTCACTTACCTGTACAGTATCGTTTCCACTGCTGGTGGCATGGATGACGATGTCAATGCCAATATCGAGAAGTAAGGCAGACTTTCACTACCGTGAAATCAGTGTCTAAATCTACTTAACCCAGCATTAGAAACAATTTGCGCATTTCACCCATCAATGCCACTTTAATGCTTTCATAAGGTTGAGAAACTTGGTGCAAGCGTTACAAAAAGTATTTCCTGAAATTGCAGCCTTTCAGTAACAGCTACCTTCGCTCGATATTGAAGACCAAGTGGCCTCTGAGAAAGGAGTGGCAACAATGAACTCTCTCAGCGAATCAACCAAGAACATACCACCCAAGAAATGTGCAGAAAGAAATGGATTGAGCAAAGGCTGAGGAGACTCTTGAGTCACATCACACGCCAATCTGGCCCTCTGGTAGAACCTAAATTGGGAGCAAATGGATGTTTGGGCTTCCGAGTGTGACATGGAGGAGATCGTTTGAACAGAAAATTAAGGCCTATAGGCAATCATGGAGACATCTTTAAAGAACTTGAGAAAACACAGTGAAATGGCGATGTGCTAATTAAACCCAATTTTCCACTCGGAAACTAAGGATATAATTATTATTATAATATTAAGCATTAGAAATGAGAAAACTTTTAAATTCAAGGTGGATTTCGTAACAAAATAACATATGTCGGAGAACCCCTGAAAACCCTTTTACAAATTGATTATTTATATACAGCTTACTCTTCCACTGAAAAGCCGGCAATATTCACTCACGTATTTGAGTGACAGTAAAGCCCACCTCAGGCACTACATTAACTATGATAATGGGATATCTCATCAGTGTTAGCACTGTAGCCTGGAACTCTAATCAACCGACTATCATTATTATAGCTCATGATTATGTTTTCTTCACTACAGGATTAGAGGATTTTTCAATTTTTTACCAGCTTGATGTCGTCTCCTAGGTTACTGAATTTGAAGTACTGCTGATTCAATAATTGTTTTGAATCAGGTATGTCAAATAAGAGTGTGATAAAACTGAAGAATATTTTGAACTTAAATGTACTCTAAATGAATAACGTGGTCATGGTTGTGAGTGCTGTGAGATTGAGCGGTCGTAAGGATTGAGATGGATGGAATGTGGAGAACAAACTGATTTTACAGTGTTTTTCACTTTGTATAAATTCTAGTTTCAGAATCGTTGAAAATCAAACAGCTTTACACAACCGCTTCCTTTTCTTTCATGAATATTTGTCTATGTAAATCGATAATTCAGGAGACAATCGATTAGAGAATTATTAGCGTTTAATATGAATGAGTACAATAATTTAAAATTTAGTAACTCATATTTTTGAATGTTTATCAATTCGTCAAACATCATCACTAGTTAACTGTCCACATAGCCAGTCTAGGTGATTTCATTAGTCACCATTTATGGTTGACTAGTGTTCACGCTACATTAATTATTGAAAAGCGTTGAGAAACCTGTTTTTGAATGTAAATCTAGTGGTGAAAAACTAGTGGGTAACCATCCGGGAATAAACTGAAGAAAGAGATGATTCCTAATCATATTAACACACTCCTTCAAAATTGTTGACTCTCTCCATTCAGATAAGCTAGAATAGTAAAGTTTTTATCCGACACAGCAAGGCTTTCTTCTGACAAGTATCATTTTTTGGATATCTGTAGATACAGAACTACAGTGGAGCATATTTCATAGTCACATTTCATAATAATACAGATCCTAACTTATATATACTGCAATTTTTTCTTCTAAACGTCAGTGTAAGTGAAAGCGGCAAGGTTAAACTTTAAGCACCACTAACCACCAATCAGTCAGTGACCTCGAACTCACCAATCCCGTGCGTGAAGGAGGCATTTCTGTGTATGGAATACATGTATTTATGAAAAAAAAGTGCATAAAACCTGTATAAAAGTGTTACAGAGGATGCCTTTCTCTTACATGTGATAAAAGTAGCTCTCAGTTTTAGGTTGGTGTATCAACAAGGTATAATTCCATTGTGGGTGAAATTTATTTTGATAAAGTTTCATAATTTTATACAGTAATATTTACTGAGCAACAAATGCTGCTCAAAATATCACCAGTAAATATATCCGTATAACACTGTGAAACTTTATCAAAACAAATTTCCCCCACAATAGAATTATACTCTACCAAAGTGCATAAGTCCTGTTCTTATATTAACAGAGTAATTTAACCAAATTCTATGCATGTAATTATTTAGGTCTCCTACCCCAAGAAATTACCCTGATCTTTGCTGAACCTAATACTAACGTGAAAATATCCCTAAACTAACTGTAATCTAACACGAACCAACCCTAATGTCGCCTTTAATAGATTAATCTAACCCTAACTTGTCCTTGGCTTAAAGCTTAATTTAATCTTTCTCAAACCTAAGCTGAAACTTGCCAGATATCCTATTTAATAACATAACACTTCGATGGGCATATTTTATTGATGGTGACAACATTATTCGCCGGGTTTCACTAATTTGCTCAGCGGGTTTCTCAAGGTCATTGGTGTGATCGCACTCCATTGGCAATTCGTGGTGGTAAAAGTTTAACTTGGCTCTGAAAGCTACTGGCTCCGAGTGAAATATAGAGCTGCTACAAACACGATGGTCTATTCTATTTTGGTGTTAAATGTTAGTTTCTTTCTAATAAAAACACTACGAAATTGACTACTTCAAGCATCATTTGTTGCCTTCAGTGGATAGCGGTGAAGTTGATTACTTTGTCAACGAACTATACAGGTTGAGTCCTTAAGGTTGTGGATACTCCATAATAACCAGAGTCAGGGATTAAAATATTTTCCTGAGAATTCCTGTTCAGTCTTTACCTAAAGCCCCTATTCAATGGTCTTTAGTCCACAATTCTTATACAGTCATGTTCCATTCATGGCAAGATATTATTCCAGTCAAATAAAATCCTTTAAAAAAATCACTCATGTCATTGTTTTAACTTTTCATATTGTTTAGTTTGGTGAGGGCGATAGATGGACAATTATTATAACACCTTATCAGTATGGTGCAACTAGATGTCAGAATCCACCACAAAGTGTTAATATTTATCAAGGCAAGTGATAGAATTGACATTTTTTCATAGTTCTCATGTTATTTATCTAATACCATTCAAACTGCATAGGAATTGACTGTTGTTTCTATAAAATAACTGTTTAACTATTGTGGAAATCTAAATTGTTTTAAACTACCTACTGTGAATTTACTCTATAGTATGACTCTATGGTAATTGAACTTCACGGAAGATTTATTGTCTGATATTATACAAACTCCAGGATCTACAGGTGAATATCAACAAGCTGACAAAAAAGGCATTGAAAAAAGGACTTCAAATGAACATAGAGAAGACAAAGGTTGTGAAGGCACCTACAAGCATCAGTCACCATCAGTGGAATAAATGTAAAGGAAGTCACTTTTTTCACTAATCTGGCTGAACAACACCGTTTCAATGACAGACGGATGAGACTATCAAAGGCTGGGTCAGAAGAGCAATACAGACTTTCATTACTTTGAAGTCAGTGTGGAAATCTACCACATCCAGTGTAAAGAACAAGACTGGAATTTTGTACACTAATGTCAAGCTGGTTCTTCTATGGCGTGCTCGTCATCAAAAGCATCGCTAAAAGGTCATTGCAGACTTTTATCAACAGCTGCCTTTGCTAGCTGCATACTGAAGATCAAATAGTCGGTCACAGAGGATAAACGACCAAGAACTCTGGCGACGAAAGAACCAAAAACTTATCACCCCACAAATATACAGGAGGAAATGGAGGCACAAGGACATTCGTTGAAGAGACTGCTGAGTGACATAGCGCACCGGGAACTCTGAAGGAATAAGAATAACAAATGACGAGTTCGGTGTCCGATGGAGATTATGTGAAGAGGAAATAAAGACTTTGAGCGATCATGAAGCCATCGGAAAAGGACTGCAGAGGACAGAGTGAAGTAGATATGCTTCGCTAAATCCCTTTGTTCCATTTGGAACTCAAGAGAATTATAAAATGTAGTACAATAAAAATGTGTTACTACTTAAATAAACCTAGCTAGAAGAAAACCTTGATTTAAAAAGACTATGGAATGAACCATAGTTTATGCATGTATGTATAAATAATTTATTCAATGTTAGGACTGGATTCGAATGCAGGTAGTAGCAATGAAAAAATAGGTATGCATAAAAGACACGTCATTTCTGAAGTATTATCCTGATGAATTATTATAAACTTATGAACAGAAGGAAAAAGAAAGCTGTTATCGGCATATACTGCACTACTGTTTAACGTTTTTAGTCTCAAGCTACTTATATCCAATTAGTAGCATATAGAGTTTTGCCAAAAAAGAAGCATCACTATTAGAAAACTCACGTTTTACATATTATCATCATGCTAAGAAGGGACATTAGTAGCACTATTCACGGGGGGGGGGGGGTCCGTAATGAGGGTGAAATAACAACAAACTCAGTTAATGACAAAATGTTTAGGCTGAAAGATTCTGTTGACTCGATAAAATCAAATAGTTTAAGACACCAAATGTTATTTAATGACTGTGAGGTGGTTACTCCAGCAGTTTATTAGGATTACTTAAATCATAACAGCACAGTAAGTTAAACAATTCTAAAGTGATGGTTCTTGCTAGATTAAATGGACAATCATACAACACAGAGAGCTGTAAAAACTTATAAAATTAGTTAACGGGATTGGTTGATGACAGAATTTTTGTTGAATGGGTAAAAATGACAAATATACTGTGTGAAAGATGCAACATTAATCCTGCATATGTGGAGAGTCCTACTAACCTTGGATTCGAAAATAAAAACAAAATAAAACAATGGGATTATATAAAATGAGTTAGGGTGATGTGTGACTACCTTAACAAGATTATGAGCAGTCATCTGGACTCGAAAGGCCGATCGGTAATAATCCTATTAATATAAAAACAATAAAACTGCACAGTATCTAGTGAAATTCGAATACACTGGAGAAGACTTGTAGCTCAAATGGGTGGTTTTGGTGTTTGTCTGTCCACTGAGCTTTGCAGTCAACATCACCGGAGAGGAAGGATCTTTCATGCGTGAACACTTCTGGCAGTTCGCTTCACTGTGAAGTAAGAGTTAAAGATATTGTCCAGAAGAACAATGAAAGTTCTGCAGTTAAACTATTCAACTCAGACAACACAATAACATCGAAAACCTAGAATATATATATATTTGACTGCTTTTTCGCCTGGGGAAAATCTTCATGAATTCTTTGTATTATTTCTTTAAAAATTTACTATTATAGATACTCATAAAGTAATTGTATCCGATGTTTGTTTGGAGCCTGGATTACCGATTGTTCTACGTATTGTTCCTGAGTCATATCCTGAAGGAGCATTTACTGAAATTCTAATTACAGATGTGAGTAACTAATCGTTATTACTTTTTTATATTCAGATGGATTATGTGATTTTTTGATCATAAAATATTTTTCTCACAATCGAAAACCGAGAGGGAATGAAATTAATTCCATGATTTCAAGTCGCTCTTTATTTCATAAGACAGCCGTCAGAGTAGGAAAGAGTTTACAGTTTGCAGTGACTTAAGACCAGTGTATCTATTGATGTTTGTTCAACATATCAATTGTTTTACAGGATGCAAATTCTTGTGAATGATGGTGTTTTATGATACACTTCTTGTCTCTCGATGTCACTTAATTTTGAAGTTTAAACAGGAGTTGAGAATGTTTAACCACTACACGTAACTGACAATTTGAACTGAGCCTGAATTATGTTTTTTAGTTAGTTAGAACACAAAGGACTCTAGCAATCAAACTATTCAAAGAAAATACAATCACAAAGTTGAATATCGTGTGAAGGCTACAGATACGCCATTTTTATTGATTTCTAAACGAACTGTTTTTATAGGCCAAAGATAATGTAATACAGGGTTACATTATAAAAGTGCCAAGCTATGAGTCACACTAATTACTTACTCAGTTGCTCAAACTGAAGTAACTGGAGAGCTATTAGAAGCGTAGACCTATTAAATGAAAGCCAAGTACTCAAGCTAATCAGCGTTGTACACACACAAGTGGTATTACTTACAACGCCTATCTTTATTGCACAATGAACTGCAGATTATCACTAATAGTATAGATTATTTAGAGTATAAGTAAGCCGAATAAGTACTGACAGTAATCAAGCGAAGACATTATGCTAATTCTTGAGGTCTTCAGCTATTCTTCTAAGTCATACAAACGAATATAGACTATTCGATAAGAGTTTAGGAAAATATTTGTCATAAGTGAGAATCAATCCCAGTGGCTCAGGCACATTCACAGCATATCTTCATTTCTAAATCTTCATATGCCCTCTTCTTTCGTGTGGTCATTGTCGGAATTGTTTTACTTTACTTTCTCCCTTCCTTTCTTTGACCTCTTCCATAATCCTTATGCACTTACACATCGTTCTATGTGTTTTGTGCCTCCTCGTTTGCCTTATCCGTCTCATCATTCTTGTTTAGTCAGTTTTATTCTCAGTAGTTTTTAGTACCTAACCATGTTTCTATGCAAGACTATTTGGTTTATGAGATCATCTTCACGTTAGACCTACTTATGAAGATGACTTTGTATTTCATTGGCAGTAATTCCTATGAAGACTAGAATAGAATAACCTCAAAAATAAACTGTTCACGCCTTATGAATGGAGAGATGAAAAGATTGCCAGATTAGGTTGTATATGTGAAATGACACAAAGAATGCTTTATATTCTTATAATATTACTTATTATTATTATAGAGGCCATGCATTTTCTAATTATAGATTGTATTGATACCAACTGATGACAGTGATCTAGCTCGGCGTTGTGAACCTTATCGTGAAATAGCTATGGAAATATTAGCTGGACGTCGTGAAGATCGAACTGGACTACCACCGGAATGTGAAGTCTACTTCCGTTTACCACGTATAAGTTGGAGAGAAAGTAGTTCAGTAGCAGAAAGTTAGTTTATAAATTTTTCTTTAATCTCATATTTATGACAGCTAAATTAAACTACTTCAGTTTTATAGTTTAGAGACTTGGTAAGAACGTTACCTCAGTCATTTCCAAGACGCTGCAGACTTTCATCAACACCTGTCTCATCTCGATACTTAAAACAGGATGGCCAGAAAGGATCAGAAAAAAGAAACTCTGGTAGGCAGCAGACCAACCATGAACCTGTTGCCTAACAAATATGCAAATGGAAGTGGAGATGCATTGAACATGCGCTGAGGAGACATTCAGGTGACACAACAAGCCAGACTGGCCCTAGAATGAAACTCAAATGGGAAGCAAGGGGTAGGTTAGACATCGTGTGAAGAGAAAATACTAGCTTGTGGGCAATCAAGGAGCCAGCTTAAAAAGACAGAAAAGAAGGCAATCAAACAGAGGTGTCAGCTTCTGAGGACTTATATTCCACTAGGCATCGAAGGGATTAATAATGATCGTAATATAATACCTCAGTGTTAGGGTGATCAGTTGATATCCAGTTCATTCATTATTGATTTAACCCATTCAAGTGAACTTTACTAGAAGTTCTGGAGTTAGGTTCGTGTGTGGGGTACCTTTCACCTTCAGGAAATTCATTTATTTCCAATGGTTAGTTTTGTAGAGATTTTACTTATTTCAAGTTTGACCATAGATTAATTTCAGTTAGCGAACCCGGTCGGGAGCCAGGACAGATGCTGGCCGATGACATTGACCGGTAGTCACGCTAAATATGTCACGAATCGGTAGAACTTATAATTCATGGGCTGCTGAGTCGGCCCCCAGTGTCTGAGTGGTCTACGAGCTTGCCGATCAGCCTGAAGATCCTGGGTTCGATCCTCAGTGGGTGTGTGCTGATGAGGACTACAGAAGTAGAATGAAGCAGCTGTCCAGTATTCCGCTCTGGTTTCCAATATTCCTCTTACTGATATTAATTCGTGGTCAAAATTAAGATCCATTTATGCTGCAAGACTTGAGTTTATGATGTTGTTCTCCGAAGTGAAACAATTCACTCAGCTATTTAGATCAAAATGTATCTGTGGAACTGGATACCGTTAATTAATTAGCTTCAACTAATCGGAAATCATGAAGAATAGTACCGTTTAGGCCATTACTTGTTATCCACAACAAGAAATAACCATTTCATGTTTATTCTCAGCTAGATTAATCTACTTACTGTATCAAACATTGAAATAACATTATTTGCTGAGTGACCAAAACGTAAATTGCTTACTTTTCGACATGAAATTTAAGGGTTTAATTCTTCTCTGATTCATAAATAACTGCCACTGTAAAGTCATATACTAAAATGAAACATAGTGTTTTGTCACTATCTGATATCAGCTTACAGAACTACTGGAAACAATTGGGCACTGTACAACTGTTTTGTCCCAGTGCTGAACTCTGTAGCAGTGAGCACTCGTGATTCCGAAGGTGACTTAACACACGAACTACAGGTCACAAGGCGAGTCAGTTGATCATCATTCCATCAGGTTGGAATCCAGGTTGGTTTTCGATCTTTCTCTAAACGGTATTACTTTGTGACAAAGTTGAAAATTCAACACAGTTTTCTCTAGAATTCCAAGGTATTTAAATCACTATGATGTATATAGTGCCTTACTTGTCCCACTGAGTAGCTAACCAGAGTTCAGATAGCTTGAAATAACTTGACATTCTGTAGTGAGTGGCTTTCGACAGATAAACGACAAACAAAGCGTTAAGTAGTCGAAAAGATTTTCTGGTGTTTGCAATACCTCAGTATGACTAAAAAGTGATGTTAGTTGAGGTAAGTGGTGTTCAGCTATTCAACAATCAGTAATGTGTACCGTGTTATCGTATATTATATTTATTTTCATCATAATCTAGGGTGTATGTGCAATACAACTGGTTCACGATCTGAGATATGCGATAAAATGACAGGACAATGTCCTTGTAAAGATGGAGTGGTTGGTAGACAGTGTGATCAGTGTGCACCATATCACTATGATTTCAGTGCAAGAGGATGTACTGGTAAGATTTATATTAACTTGGCTTTTCTATTATTTTTATTATTATTATTGGCTTGTTGTAATAAGACTCGGTACTTTCAATTTGTTAATAATACACGCGAGTACACCAACATTAATTAGTGTATAAAGGCAAGAAGTAGTTCTAAATTATTATCATTTTCTTTTGGTGCAGGGTTCATTTAAATGAGTCCCAGTAAAGTGAAGCTTAAATTATGCTTTGGGAACGCTAAGAAGCCACGGGGCTATGTCAGAAAGAAGTTTTGTAAAACCTTAAATATAATACATTGTAAAGTCACAGAAATACTGCTCGGTATGGTACCAATCTGGAAATCACCGTCACTCAGCATCAACAACAAAATTCGGATTTTCATTACAAACGTCAAGTCAGTCCTTCTATACGGATCAGAAACTTGGCCAGCGGGTCAAAAAGAATATTTCCAACAGCCTGTTGCAGACCTTTATCAACAACTGTCTTCGCTCTATACTGAAGATCAGATGGCCAGAAAGAATCACCAACAAGAAAATATGGGAAAAAACAAAACAAAAACCAATCGCTCAACAAATATGCAGGAAAAATTGGAGATGGATTGGACACTCGCTGAGGAGGCCGTTGGGTGACATCGCGCGTCAGGCCAACGCTCGAGTGGAACCCGAAAGGGAAGCGGCGAGTGGTTCGTCGGTGCAAGGGTGACATGGAGGAGATCGTGTGAAGAGGAGTTGAAACAGTATGGACTAACATGGATGGAAGTGAAAAGTACAGCAGAAGACAGAGTCAAGTGGAGACGTGCGGTTGAAGCCCTATGTTCCACTAGGAACCCAAGGGAACAATAATAATATTATAATAATGGTTTAGTTATCAGTTGACCTAACATTATTGTTACCTGAACATGTGGCATTGTAATGGCATATCTCCATTATTGATTACTCGTCACACTGTATAGCTGCAATACATTTGTGGATAAGCATTTCTCTTGTTTGTCTTTTATTTAGGTAAAGTGATTATGTAACTTACTTTTGTTTGGATATGCAAAGCAGAAATGTAATGAGAGAAAAATACAAAAAGCTCCAGTTTAAAAGAGTAGTATAACTTAATAAGTTATTTTTAGTGGAACAGATAAGAACAGGAGGCAAAGTGAACTAAACTATTAGATCATGTGCTCTCATTTTATTTCATCTCAATTTGATTTCATACGCTACTTACTCGGTACGTTATTAGGTCATTCATACACATAATATTGTTCAAATACCAGTTCAAGCAATGTCACATGCATCTGAACAGCATAGCAGAATGCAGGATACTGTATCTATATTCAAACTGTAATCAATAGCTTAGCAGATATAATTATCAAAGAATCAATATCTGATAACCACAAGGAAAAGTGGCTTTAGAGAAAGATAAAAAATTGAAGTGACTTATCATAAATGCGTAATATGCTTGAAAGATTATCTTTAATATGTTAACGGCTTATATTAAGGTCAAAATAAAAAAATACCTGAGTATGTCTATTAAATTACAGGTTATATAACAGAAGAAATCCATATAAGTACTTAAGTCTTACGCGGTGTCTTTTTCTTAAAATGTAGTTGTTAAGGGAACGTAAGATGTAATTGGGACGCGCCCTCAATCACTGACAGACATCACTTAAAGAGCTGAGATTCCATTCATTCCAGTATGAGAACTTTCGTCAGTACTGTTTATATTCCCTAGTAGATGGAACGACATTCGAATCCGGTACCTATTTTTGATTGAACACTAGTCAGTAACTAGTGTAATGTGTCTAGTCCTATCTTCGATGCAGACTGAATTCTATCAGTCATGTTTGCAATGTGGCCACCATGCTAGGTGGCTCGCCATTACGGTGCACTGTGAATTGGTGGTGGCCACATTGCAAACATGACTGATAGAATTCAGTCTGCATCGAAGATAGGACTAGACACATTACACTAGTTACTGACTAGTGTTCAATCAAAAATATGCAATACAGTCCTACAGGAGGTCAGTCGCGAGCCTGAATAGCTCAGTGGTAACGTCTCTGACTGCAGCACTGGGTAATGCGGGTTGGAATCTCATAAGGGACATCAGTTCCTTCAAGGTTGCAGATACGCCTTGCTGATGAGTGCCAACTAGCACGAAACCTAGGTCCAAGGCTTCCTGCCGATTGCCTCCAACCATCTAGTACCAACGAATCCGGTACCTACTAATACCAGTACGTCAAACACCCGATGATACCAGTCCATTATATATACCAAAACTGCCATCTAGTGTCAAAAATTACAAGTTGTGTGCACTTTCGAACTCTTTTACCACAGTAATCAGGACCACATATTACAGATTCATGAAATTCAACTAAAATCTCGGCAGCGATCAGCAGCTTATGCTGACAGTGATGAGTTCTGAATGTTCACTGATCTATACTACAACTCAAACATCATTACGAACCGTTTGGGCAATGTGTATTGAAATAGGTGAAAACAACCATTTATCTTCAGAATATTTATATGAATATATATATGGACAGCTGGTGTAATTTGCTGATTCCGTCGTCTGCATCTATATTCTAAGTTTTTGGTGAAGAAACAAGAAACATATAGCACAGTAGACATGAATTCACCACTTTCAGTTGCTGCTAATACACAGAATAGTGTTCCAATGAAAGCATAAATTCGTGTAGTTTGTCAAATTCACCTTGTGTTTCTACTTGAATTCTGTAGATAAGCATATTAGACCCGTGCCTTACTGCTTAGATTTTTATTTTTACAAATGACTTTATGCATACTGTAGCAAAATACAATACAAAATTTCAAAATAGTGTAGCAGTACTAATGGCTAAGTTTACGAAGTCAAGAGGAACATTGTTTACTGAAGCTTTAGTAAGTGAGTTAAAGAGGAATAAAATAGCGTAATTACTTCAATATGTCATGGATATCCGGAGATATCTACCGCTTATATCACAAAAAAAGTGAAGGATCAGGGATATAAATAGGACATCTGACAGTTGATGTAATTGCAAACAGAAAATCGTTTTAAAGCACTATTTGACTAATAACAACGTGATATTTTTTTTACAAGCAAACTAATACGTTGCATGTCTCATAAAGGTAAAATTTATCTGAGAACTAGCATCTCCTAATTAAGTGCCTCCTAGCATAGATCAACGTGATTTAAACACCAGACAGCAGTTCTTGTTCGTCTTGGGTTGGCCCGTAAGCCGTGTAGCCAGTGTCACTTTGCTCATAGCTGCTACGGCCAACTGGTTATGAATTAATTCGAGTTTCCGATTAACAAATTACACAGTCTGAGGTGAAATTTCGACAACAGTTTCCTTCGGAAACCGAAATTATTCAGATCTCAAATTGTGATCTGCCTGATACCATAAATGGCAATCAAGAAAGCGAACATAAACGCATGACGCCTTAGACTACTGAATGATTGAAGTGAGTAGTTTGGTGCCACCATTTACATCAACCACTAGTGGTTGCCAGCCGGATCAGAGTGACCTAAACACCGGAGGACTGTTTGCGCCTGAGCTTATCAGTGGTCCTGAATGAAGGAAACAGCCATCCAGTGGGATCACTAGGTAATATGTAACTTGCGAAAATGAATGTCACCTTCAGAAATCTGCATAGTCGATTTATTCAGGAAGTCTCTCGCTTTGTTATCTATGAAATTAGAAGCATAAAAATTCCCTCGCTACTTACTTCATGTTAGTCTTAGAGCTTTAAACTTGGGGTATAAAGCTCCAGTAACAGTGATGTTTTTTATTTTACGGGGTGGAGTTGCTAGACTCACACAGAACCTTCACTCATTAGGGTCTTATTACCGACTAAGCAAAGTTTAGGAGTACGTCGGCTGGGATTCGAAACCTGGACCACGTGTGCAGATATCTAAGAGAAGGAATTCAGATTTCTTTTTATATTCTGTATAAAGATTATATGATAACTGTGACTCAACTTACCACACTTTGCCACTATCATTTAATATTTCCACCAAATTAATGCACACTGTCACTAAACATTTCAGCAAAACACTTACTGATGACAAAGCGAGTAGCTGCTGAGAGTAGCCATAGATATTAACATGTACATTGTTGTACAACACATGTCACTGAAGACAATCTAATGAATTTCGCAATCGACGGAGTTACAAATAATCCATATCAATACTTCATATTCTTAACCATTATAAGTACCTGTCATTCAGTAACTTCTCTTTATTGACTTTTTCTTGTATATACAAAACTTAAATATATTTATATTTTATAGATTGTGCATGTGATCCACAAGGATCAGTTAGCTTACAGTGTCATGAATCGACAAGTCTTTGTGAATGTCGTCCTGGGATTGTTGGTAGACACTGTAATATGTGTGAAACTGGATATTGGAATTTTCCAAATTGTCGACCATGTGTTTGCAGTGGATTTAGTGATCGCTGTAATCAGGTAAGCGGTCAAAAAAAATTCTTTTTAGGCTTATCACCTCATTCAATGTATATAACTAGCATATTGGTCGTTTGATGCATTAGTTCACAGTGGGACTATACTATTTGCTACTAATTAGTAGGATAATTCATAACTTTTCATTTTCGAAGTTATATATTCACCCAAAATTAAATATATGTAAAACGTGAACACTTTCACAGCATGTTAGCCATATTGGCTTAATACTGTGAATCTCAGACATTTATCAGATTCAGACTTATTTGCAATCTTGCAGTTCTGTGTTGTGAACTGTATTGTAACCTAGAACTGTCGATGGAAAAGCCAGTAGTTCAGTAAAAAACCTTCTCCGATCACCAGTGACGTGCCTAGTCGTAGTCCAATTCAATAATATTAGAGTTAGAAGGTTGCAATCGATATCTCAAGACTGGCGATGCATATACATAGACAGACATTCATTATGAGTTAGAAAACAGAGCCATTCAGAATACAGTCAGTCTGTTCACGTTAAATATTACGATCTTTGTGTTCTCGCTAACTAATTTATTCATGAATGCACTGAAAGAGAAACTAAAAGAAGATAATGGCCTAAAAGATAGAACACAGTTATCCGTAGAAGAGATAATAAAAGGGGTGGAATTTTGTCTGACAACAACATATTTCACATTCGAAGGGAAAATATACCAACAAAATGAAGGAGTAGCAATGGGATCGCCTATCTCACCAATAATAGCTGACATATTCATGGATTATTGGGAAGAGAATGCCCTTAAACCATTCAGGTCATCACTAAAATGTTGGTGGAGATATGTAGACGACACACTAGTAATAGTGAAAAAAACGATATTGAGAAACTCTTCTCACACATAAACAGCCATGTCGACTCAATAAAATTCACTATGGAAGTAGAGAATGAAATTGGGGAACTACCTATGTTAGATTGCAAAATACAAAGAATAACAGATGGCAGCATTAAAACGACGCTATATAGAAAAACCACACACTCTGGAAGATTCCTCGATTATCACTCAGCTCATCCACTCACGGTGAAACGAGGATTAATACAAGGTCTTGCAGATAGAATACATAGACTTACAACAACGCCAGAGGACCAGTGTAAAGAAATAAACGTCCTATTCAAGATGCTACTCGAAAACAACTACCCAAAAGAATTTATAAAAGATAATATAAAAAAGAAAAAAAGAGGGTAAAACCGGAGAATAACAAGATGGAAGAATGCAAAAAAACAGTCACAATACCATATAAAAATGGTACATCAGAGGCAATTCAAAGAAACCTCAAAAATATCGGCATTCACACAACTTTCAAACCGACAAATCTAATCAAAAATAAAATAAATCAACTGAAAGATCCCATAAAAATGATGGATAAAAACAACTTGATTTACAAAATATCTTGTGCTGACTGTCCGACTAAATATGTGGGGCAAACGTCCAGATCACTCAAAATAAGAGTGGATGAACATAAACGCCTAATCAAAGGTCAACCAACAGGAACACAAGCCTACAAAAATCTTGAAAAAAATTCATCGATAGCTGCACATGCATGGGACAAAAACCACAATATCGATTGGGACAATGTGTGTATTCTAAAAACTAACATGAACAAATGGAAAGAAAGACTTATAACAGAATCGATATTCATTAAAGTCACACCAGATACATTTAACAAGGGTGACTCAGTACAACTATCAACAACTTGGAATATAATTCTGGATACAAAAACATGAATGAACGTGGAATACAACTCAAATAATTTTCTATAGTTTGGTTTGTAAGGATTAGTTATGTTTTACGAGTTGATCACGGATTGATATCAGTTAGAGAACCATTGAAAACCAGGGAGTACTGGACAGCTGCTGTTTCATCCTAGTTTGGGAATCATCGGCAGTACGCACCCACGAAAAAAAAATATGAATGAGCAAAAATAATGAACTATATATATGAGTACAAATCATAAATGTGTGAATCAAACAATTCCAACAGTGGTGTGAACACGGGCAGTAATTTTGCTCGAAATATTACCAATAACAAAACTTATCATTGTGTGTAAACTATTAAAATATAATTATACTTTATTTAATTTATTCATACTGGTATATTTTTTGGAAATATTTTATTTTATTAGACTACTGGAGTATGTGAAGATTGTCGAGATAATACTGGCGGTGACCACTGCGAGACATGTCGTGAAGGATTTTATGGTGATCCACTAAGAGAAAAACCGTGTAAACCATGCTCTTGTCCAGGCGGTGGATTGAATCATGCCAAAGAATGTCGTATGGGACCACTAGAAGAGCAGATATGTATTTGTAAAGTTGGATATACAGGTAATTATTTATTTAAGAAGAAAAGCCTTTTATCGAAGTTTTCTTATGTAATGTCATACTCTGATTTCTCCATTTTACTGTTGAATAAATAACGTGGAATTACTAGTCATCTGTTCTAGTTTTTTAAATTAGATAACGAAATGACATCAGTTAGAGAAAGACCGGAAATCATGCAATACTGGACAGTGGTTTCCTCCCAGTTCGGAACGATGTAAGCATCAATGACCTCACCACGGATCGAAACCAGGAGCATTAGGCTACGAGGCAAGAGCACCGATCATTGACTGCTGGGAGAAAATTAAGTGGTCCATGGATTCTAACCTCTACAATTTATCTATCTACAAATTTGCGGCTAGCTAATGTCATAAACTATGTCTACACTCACACTAGACTTGGCGGACTCCACCGACCACGCTTTCTCGTTAGAACTGTAGGTCAGCAATAAGCAGTGCATTGCTTTTAACGTTTTGGTTTGTAATTTGTGTAACTGAAATTCTTAACTCGTCAGAAATCTATGTTTGAACAATGTGACTGATAGTCCTGAACATTTTTTTTCAACTTTCAATTCTTCTGAACAGTTGATTATTTGCTGATGAAAATGTACAGCTATCTATTGTCCAATATACTATTTGGTTAGGTAAGTGGTTGGTTGCTGGCTTGTTGAACAAAATTACTTAGATATTCTTGTAAACTGCATTTCATAAATTTAAGTGTTGGTTTGCAGGGATTTGATTGCTTTCAGGATTTCATCACGAGTTGACGTCGGTTAGGGAACCATTGGAAAAACAAGCTAGGAGTAGTGGACAGCTGTTTCCCCAGCCTAGTTTGGGACTCTTCAGCAGTACGCACTCATCCGGGTTCTTACCCATGACCTTCTAGTTACAATGCAAGCTCGTAGGCCATTAAGCCACTGAGACTCGATCCAATAGCGAGCGCAACTCACGACATAGCGCGACGACTAGCCAATGTCATGAATTTCACATACATGTTACTTACTATTAAAAGTCAGGACGTGTTTAGGTTCTGTGAGCTTGTCTACATTTTAATGGGTGAATCGATGTGTAAGTTGAGCCGTACACTTCAATTCGTTGTCAGCTCCTAATCTTGTTTCAAATGGGGTATTTTCTTATTCCGATTAGACTTATGATTCATAATTGTGTTCTCCTGCAGAAAAGAAAAGATTTACTGCAAGTATTTTTTTAATATTTAGGTCCAAGGTGCAGTCAATGTGCAATAAACTATTTCGGTAATCCTACAGAACCAGGTGGATCTTGTAGACCATGTGAATGTTCCGGTAATATTGCAGTCAATGTGCCTGGCAGTTGTGATCCTGTCACAGGACAATGTTTGAAATGTCTTCATAATACAGAAGGTTATTATTGTGATGTGGTAAGTTCTTTGTTTTGACGGATTAGCTGAAATTCATAAATTCTTATGGAGTACGTACATTCAGACCTTGTTTTATTTCCTTACTCCATGCATAACTGTTGATTCAGGAGTAACTCTTTCTTTAATGAAAGGGAGTAAAGGTTAAACTGAAAACGACGTCGGAAGCCGTACCCGTTAAACGTCAGTCTTACGTCATAAATAATCAAATCTTTATTACTTATGATTATAGCTTCATTCTGGACTGAACTGTCAGCTTATTTTATTGCATGCTGTTTGTTCACTGCTCAGAATTTATGAGTAAGGGTATCCTACAGTCTGTCATTTGACCAGGAATACTCTGCAATCCTCCATGACATTTCGCCTCCATTTCCTTCAAAAAGTTCGTAGTGGTAGCTCAAGAACTGTTATGACAGTATACAATGTACTGATTGATACCAGTTGAGGAAAATTCATGAAATAAAAGTGACTTCCTGTAATTTTGTAAACGTTTTAATCCTCAATTTCTTCAAAGACATCCAGCTAGTCAAGTGTACACATTTCTTAAGCATATTCGTAATTTCGGAGTAGCACTCAAGGGAATAATTGAATTGTTGAGACAACACAGGATGAAATGGACCTAATTTGTTGTGTTAGATGGAGAATTTGATATCTCAGGGATTCAGGCAGATCTCACACTTTTGAGGATTTATGCATTTGTCAAGCAGATATTTAGATTGACGGAGTATCTAAACATTACCTTATTTGGCTGATGATGAAGTCCATGATGGATGTTTCATTCGGTTTTGAACTCGTCAGCTTCATGTGCCTTCATCTCCAGAGTGCTGGTGCTCCCACTTGGACTCGAACCTAGCACCCAGCACTTGAAAATCAAAAGAGTCACGAAATCATCATAAAAGCCACGAAGCAAAGAAGCTGAATATTATCATGGTGACCTTAAGGAATTGTTGAAGCGTCTATACTAAGAGCTAGTATGTCAACATAGACTGAGCACTTCGTCCTAGTAAAAACAATCAACTGGGAATTCAGGATCATTCAAACGAATAACGTTGTCTAAACTCACTTGTACTATACAGGTGTATATTGGGGAAAAATTAAAACTACCTAACTGTTCGAAATCTAGTGTTATTAAAAGTTTCATTTTAAATTATTTAAATTAATCTCAGCGTGTTTAAGAAAATCAAAACAAGATTTTTCTGAACGTTTCTCTGTGTAAGCCACTGCTTCATCAGCAGATTTATTCGGATTTATATTAATCATCAAAATATATAGTCAAAAATCTTTATGTAAACTGAAGTCAGTTTATTTGAAGGTCATTTGTTCATGGACAGTTTTACCAATAGAAATACGTAAGCACTCATCATATATTTGTAATGATTGATGGTTCTGTAACTGATATCAATCCGTGATCAACTCGTAAAAAACAAAACTAACCCTTACAAACCAAACTATAGAATATTAATGTAAAGTTGTTGTTGTGTGTATTTTTCTATAGTTGATTTGTAAGGATCAGTTTTGCATGAGTGTGTGTGTATGTTGTCATATGGAAAGACGTCAATTCACATGTGATAAACATGATAATACATTTTTTAAAAGGTCATAGAGGCTCATAGAGTTTTTGTTGTTTTTTCATCTCTCTTGCTTCATAAGAGTTTGCCATATAGGTGATAAGTCTATCCCTTCTTTCCTATTCGCTGCATTCGATGGGGTTAAAATGTGCAAGAATTCAGAGGTCAGCCTTTCTTTATGTGGATGAAATCCTCTTCCAAGACATTGTCGAAATCAATCTTATGTTCGCTGTCTACCGCATGCATTGCTATAGCCGATCTTTTTTCTAGACTTTTTAATTCTACTTCATTTCTAGGTGGACGTTCCGTGCATAGTCTATGTTCATTCAATCTGACCTCCGCCTGTCTACTGCTCTCCCCTATATAGCATGCTTCACATTCTGAACACTTTATCCTATAGACACAATTACGCTGTGACATTTTGGGAACCATATCCTTGACATGCACCTTTACTTTCTGCAGAGAATTAGAGGGGTTGACATAGACTTTAATATTATATGAAGCAAATAGTCTTTGAAGTTGTTCAGCTGTGTCCTTTCGATATGGAATGGCTATCGTCGATAGCCAAGATTTTTCAATTTTCTGCTTTCCATTATGCTCCTTTTTATGAATAATATCTAGTAGCTTTTCAGGATAACCATTTCCAATCAAAATCTGTTTTATATTGGATATCTTGCTGTCCATATCGTGATTATCTGTTATAATGTTTCTAGCTCTGTTAACGAGATTATTAAAAGTTTGTTATTTCAAATAAATTAATAAGAAGATATGATTACTTTTGCTGACACTTATTCCTCTCACACAAACTCTCTCGATTCTATATTACGAGTTAACTAGACTTAACAAAGCTTATACGCGAACACTAAATTAAACTTTCTTTCGTATGTAACACTCTGTCACACAAAAGAAAAGGCGTTTAGCGAAGAGTTACTCTTTTCGGTGAAATCATTCTCTAGCTGTACAGTCGCAAATATTTAGTAAATTATCTTAGCAACAAAAGGAATATTGCCAAAGATGTGTCATTAAAATTGTAAATTTTAGATAACAAGTTACGTAAAGTAGAAAGCGTTAATCAAGTAGAAAATTAAATTAAATTAAGTACGTAAGTTGAGCGACGTAATACAATTGACGGGATTGGGTAGAATTCAGCTAAAATCAGACGACAGTCAAGTTAACAGCATTGGTAATAAGGAGTGGAAATTTGATAGGGGGTGTAGGGAGAAAATGATACAATTAAGAAACAATTAACAAGAATACATATTCATTGTGAAGACAGATCAGATCCATTGTAGATTTAATAATTGAACAAACTTCTTTCGAATGTACAGTTTAGGATTTAACATGTGAATTGGCATGGCTTTTGTGGGTTGAAGAAGTTTGATTAGTACTCCTCTAGTGAGATTCCCACGTATTCTGTAGATGACTTTGAAGTACCTTTGTGAGTTAGCTTGCAAAGAAAACGTAATATATATGTATATATATATGTAGTAGTTGCTTTGGATTTTCTTCTTCCTTCTTTCCTTTACCTTTGTTGGTTATTTAGAGAGTGGCAGCTTGAACTGTTACAGTTCTATGAAGAGTTTTATGTCGAAACTCAATCAGTTAGTCAGTTTCTCTGTGAACTTGTCATTTTTCCTATTGGGTGTTAAGATACGGAAATGAAAAATGACTTGATATCGACTTTGCGGAGATTTTGGTTACACATTTGGTATTGGGAAGAGGGGTAAAGTTTAGCATGCACTTTTCTCACTGTCACGACTTTTTGCCGTTGAATGTGTCTATAATACATTATACTGATATTCCCTATGAGATTGGAATCCAATATCCACCGCTTCTTCTTCGGTATGGGCTACTTATGAATAAATATAACTAGTATGCGGAGTAATGTCTTAAGGAAAGTGATAGTAATTTAAATATCAGTGGAAAATCCAACTAAGAAGAAAATGTAGAGGAAGGCTTCAAATTCCAGAAGAGTCTAGTATGCGACAGACAACTTAGGGTGAAACACGCCGAAAACAAAATAGATGATATCATTTGAAATTAGTGAATTTAGTGAAAGGTATTTTATTATCCTAATACTGACTGTATTTTATTGAGTCTTGTTCTTTTCAGTGGTTCTGGGACTTTAACCTGATCTCTTACGACAGTGGGGAAATTGTGGTGTTCAAGTTCTCTATCATTAGTTATTTTGTTTAGTTAAATAGGATACAGATATGCAGGATGCTATCAACCGAAAACGATTAGTGTAAATACTCAGAACAACATTTCACTCATAAAACTTGATGGCAGTAGTCTTATCAAGCTATAAATACTTCTACATTAGACCATATAATGTAGGTGGGTGAGTGTGCTAACTTAACTGCCACCATCCACCGTAATTTATCGCCTGACCGTACTCTTTTGCTTACTGTGATTTTTGACAGCAATAAAGTCCTCCAAATTATTGACTACCCAGTTGAATTCATTTGATGGTAAGACAGATTAGAAACTTTATCAGGTCATACTATTAATCAGATGTATTGCTATGGTAAGCAGTTTGTGTTCAAATCACCTTCTGGCATCTATACTGACCGAATGCGTTACGCATTTTTCACAACTCTCAGTTAACATAATGCACAAATCCAACATTTCTAAGGAATACCTAATTATACCTCAACTTAAAGCACGAGCCAAATTCAAATAGGTAGACACAGTGTATATGCGACGACTTATGTTTCTAAATCGATTAATTCATGTTAAATTTATTCATTGCTTATTGTTAGTATTTAAGTTATACAATAGCAGTCGGTCCAAACAACCTTCCAAGTGATTTTGAACAACCAATCACAGTAAAGGAAGATAAAACGTGGCAAATATTATTTTTTGTTAGTGAAACAAACAATCTGATTTACAAACAGATTTGACTCTCTTTTATATTTATCGTTTTTTTTTTTGTTTTGTTTATTCCTAGTGTAAAGAAGGTTTTTGGGGAGATGCAACTCGTCAAATGTGTCAACCGTGCAACTGTTATCCACTAGGCAGTGTTGATGAAGGTGCTGGCGGTTGTAATCGTGAAAATGGTCAGTGCAGTTGTTTACCGAATGTTATTGGACCAAGATGTTACGAATGTGCACCGTATTTCTTTAATTTAACATCTGGTAAGGGATGTGAACCATGTCTGTGTGATCCAGCTGGTTCTATAGATGATCTGTGTGATCCTGTGAGTTAATGGCAACATTCCTTTTTTACCGATTACTAATTAAATATTTCATGAATCATTTTGATGCCTTGTCAAGACTGAAATAGGAGATGAGAATGTGTTCTGAAAATCTTAATGTGGTTGATTTAGGAATCCAGAATATATCACTCGAAGACATTTAATGTAGACGTTGATAAGGTCTAAAAGAATTAGAACTCTGCAAGAACTGGCGAGGAATTATGCTCCTGTCGACACCAAGTAAAATTCTGAGTCGCATCATCCTGGAGATGATAAAGGACGCACTGGATGCAGAATTCCGACCAGAACAAGCTGGATTCAGGAATGGCAAATCATGTTCTGACCAAATTGCAACTCTACGCATCATCATCATCGAACAAAGCATGGAATGGCAATCAAACCTCTACCTCAACTTCCTTCATAGACTTTGAGAAGGCCTTCGACAACGTTGATCGCGAAGTAATTTGGAAACTACTTGAGTACTACGGCGTACCCGAAATATTCATCAACCTTATTCAACAGCTGTATGACAACGACACATGTCAAGTGATCCACAACGGAAAACTCAGCGAGGCGTTTGGAGTAAACAAAGGAGTCAGACAAGGGTGCTTATTCTCACCAATGATATTCCTAATTGTGGTGGAATGGATTATGCGTCAGACAATGCGAAACGAGAAGACAGGGATATCCTGGACCAACGTGAAGAATCTAGAAGACCTGGACTTCGCAGATGATTTATGTTTGATGTCACACAAAATTGAAGACTTACAAGCGAAAACCGACAAACTGGTCGAAGAAGTAGCAAAGACAGGACTCCAGGTGAGCATAGACAAGATTGAGGTTATGAAAATAACCAACCAACAACAACAACAACAGCAACATGAAGCGCCAATCACCATCAATGGGAGGGATTTGAAAGAGGTTACTTCATTCACTTATCTAGGGAGCATTGTTTCAACTACAGGAGGAACGGACGAGGATGTCAAATCGAGAATCGGGAAGGCGAGAAACACATTCATCAACCTGAAACCAATCTGAAAATCTTCCGCTGTCACTCAGCCTGCATCAACAACAAATGATTCGGATTTTCAATACAAACGTCAAGTCAGTCACTTCTTCTATACGAATGGATCAGAAACTTAGCGGCGGGTCACAAAGAATATTTCCAACAGCCTGTTGCAGACCTTTATCAACAACTAACTGTCTTCGCTGCTCTATACTGAAGATCAGATGGCCGGAAAGAACAACAACCAACAAGAAACTATGGGAAGAAACAAAACAAGAACCAATCGGCCAACAAATATGCAGGAGAAAGTGGAGATGGATTGGACACTCACTCGCTGAGGAGGCCGCTGGGTGACATCGCGCGTGAGGCCAACGCTCGAGTGGAACCCGAAAGGGAATAGGCGAGTGGGACGTCCAAGGGTGACATGGAGGAGATTGTGTGAAGAGGAGTTGAAACAGTATGGACTAACATAGATGTAGGTGAAAAGTACAGGAGAAGACAGAAGCAAGTGGAAACGTGTAGTTGAAGCCCTATGTTCCACTAGGAACCCAAGGGAACAATAATAATAATAATAATAAAAGACGTTCATAATGGTCATTATTAATTTCTTGTCAAAATGATACTATTTATAAATGGAACTCATCTTCGTCATCATCATTGTATGCAGAGTGATTGAGGTCCTTGCAGCACAACATCTGAAGTAACTACTTTAAACTGGTTAATCAGAATGAATCTAAAAGCTGGTTAGATGAATGGACAGTTGAATAGGTAGACATAGAAATAAAGTGACAGAGGGATGAAAAGTAAGCCTCAGCCCAACTTTATGTCAACTGGAGATACTAATCACTTTCTATTACCGAAATACGAGCCAAAAGTACACAAAATAAAATAGTGAAGAGCAAATGCAACGAGAACAGGATGGATGATGGTTGGTGAAAATAGGCATAAAGTGATAACCATTCGCTAACTACCCGAAGATGACACGCATATCCAAATACTGCATTTGGAAGTATTTTCAGGCATATCATGTATCACCGCCTTACTCGTTGGTTGTTATTATTTTACATGACTCAACCTAAGGCTGCAATTACGTCACATACACACACATGACGATATGAAAGACTTAAGGAGTATTAGGAATATCAAAGCACTGGTTGGTGAACAAAGAATATTCCATGGGATAATTGCTTTATCAGGTTCTACAACCATATATATCTATATTAGTTAAGCAATAAACGTTACTGACCGCATTAGTAACTTTCAATAACATGAAATCACTAGGATCAGAAACCCAAGATGTTTGTATGAGTAGGTGGTTACTAAACCATAGTTCAAAACATCTGTATGCTATAATAAGCATAACTGCCGTACTTAACTACCGCTCATACCTAAAAAGGTAGGACATAGTGCTGTATTTATGAATTTATAGATTACAAAGCAGGCAAGTGTAGCAGTAGTGGCTAGACTTGTTGCTTTTGTATACAAAGTTCCTGCTATTTCGAAAGAATTTCCGTAACTTTTACTGTTTGGGGTATTTCGCGCCTGATGGCTTTTGGAGATTTACTAGGTAAACGATAGAGGTTAGAAAAAGATTCTTCAATACAATTGGCTTTGTGGTCTGTTTGAAATATGTGTGCTAGCATTCGGGTAGTTAATACTTTTTATCACACCTTATCCGAGACACACAATGATAGCTGTTCCAAAGTACGAAAAATCAATTTCCGGGAACAATGGCTGATGTAATTGTCTGTCAATGCTATTACTTCAGTGAGATGGGATCATGATAAACTCGCGTAATTAGTACAAATCGTTTTTCTTAATCATCACATTATAAAGTAGTCATTAAAATCATTAAAAACCATGTTTTTTTTTATTTCCCTGATACTTTTGTCAGTAAGTTCTGTGTATTAGGTAGTTGGAGTTCTGAGATTGGAACCCGCGTCACCAAGTGCTCTAGTCACAGACGTTACCACTGAACTATTCGAGCTCACAATTGACCTCCTATAGGACTGCAGTGGATATTTTGATTTGACACTAGTAACTAGTGTGATGCGTCTAGTCCTTTCTCTGGTTTAGACTGAATTCTATCAGTCAGGTTTGCAATGTGGCCACCATTCTAGGTAGCTCGCCATCACGGTGCACCTAGGTCCAAGGCTTCCTGCCGATTGCCTCCAGCTATCTAATATCATCAAATCAATGTGCACCATGATGAAGAGCCACCTAGAATGGTGGCCACATTGGAAACCTGACTGATAGAATTCAGTCTGCACCAAAGAAAGGACTAGACACACATCGCACTAGTTACTAGTGTCCAATCAAAAGTTCTGTGTATGCCTACATTTCAGTAATATGGTTTTATTTGGTGAAATATTTATGGATGAACTACAAAAGCCCCAAATAATTATAGTCAGTCATTACTCCTTTGAAATTCTAAAACTTTATTAAGTTTACTTGTCAATAATGCTAAAGTTATTGTTAATACTGACAATTATTCTCGACTATTATAGAACCTTATAGTTATTCTTTTTCAAGGAATGTTTATGAGGCAACATTAAAGTCCCGTGTTTAAATCCTTACTTATTAAGTTTTCGAAACACTAACAGTAGGCCACATCAAACAATCGTCTTTCTAATTATCTTAATTCCAAAAGGATCTTATGCATATTTATATCCTTGTGTTTGTATTGAATACAGAAATTTATTACAATTTGACTCTACATTCATTTATTTAAGGTTATGGGACAGTGTCGTTGTAAACCAGATCGTAGTGGACGTAGATGTGATCAGTGCAGGAGATTGTTTTATAGTGATCCGACTGCTCCAGATGGATGTAGACGTAAGTTCATGCATTGACTTGGAATGAAACTAAGGCATTACTGTATTATGTGAATGTGTTAACTTTGGTACAAATAACTTACTGGTATAGTTTCAGATATTGGTGATGGGTAACCTAGATTCTGCTGACATTTCTTGAAAAGTACTAAACTGAGGTTGCCAGCAGAAACCGCGAAGACTTCAGGTGAACATACAGAAGATAGAAGTATTGAAGTTACCTATCCAACAACAGCAAGTACCAGTTACCATCAGTGGCAGAAATCTAAAGCAAATCACCTTTTTTACTTACCTCAGTTCCAATCTTCCACCTACAAGTGACACAGATGAGGATGTTAAGTAGAACCAGGATCGTATAAGCGAGAAAACAGTCATTACTTTGAAATCAGTGTGGGAATCTGCTGCAATCAGCACAAAGAACAAGCTTCGGATTTCTGCTATGGTACAGAGACTTCGCATGTCACCAGAAGCATTTCCAAAAGCCCGCAAACTTCTGCTAGCAGCTACCTTCGCTTGAAACTAAAGTTCAGACGGCCAGCCATAAAGTATTGGCTACAAGAAGCACTGGCAGTGGTTCTACTAAGAGCCTGTTGACCGACTAGAAAATATGCTAAAAGAAATGGAGATGGATTGGTTACACACTGAGGACACTGGTGAGTGACATCATCATAACCCGAATAGGAATTGAAAAGTTGCACGTTGATCCTAGGGTGACACAGAAGAGATCGTGTGAGATGGAGATGACAGCTTACTGGTAATCGTGGAGACAGATGAAGAGGACTTTAGAGGATAAAGTGGATTGAAAATGTGCTGCCAAAGCCATATGTTCCACTCGGAGCCTAAGGGAATAGTAATAATACTATTGTAATAAAATCTAAGTCAACTAGCACATTACACTGATGAGTTCTTAGAGTCTAGAATTTTCTTTCTGATAACTATAGTAAAGTCACCTTCTTAAAATATTTTAATATAGAAACTTTTACTCTTGTGAGAATAACAAATTCATGTCATAAATTTATTCACAAATCGATAAACAATTGTTCAGGCAATACATGTCCATTTTTGGGTACAAATTATCATTTAGATATGATAGAGAAGACTTGTAGTTCAGGTGGATGATATTAGTGTTTGTTAAATTCTCTGAAATACATGATTTTAATTGTGAAGCTTTCACTAATTATCTAGACAACATCTTCAGCGCAGACTTCAATCGGAACTGGGTTTCTTAAATTCTCCATAAGTTTATCAACCACTTCTGCTGGCAACTTTGAACTTGGTTGGTTGCTTCTGGAGACTTCTTCACCCTCTAGTGGACTGGAAGTCGAAGTCTGCCTTGAAGGCAGTGTCTATAAAGGCCAGAAAAAGCTTCGCGTCTAAACCTTCTAGCTCAGAGAACATAAAAACATTAGCAAACTAACTCCATTTTAATTCTCCGATCATCAACCTCATCCGTTTCGCTCATCAAGGTTATATATCTGTACACAACTCAGAAAATATAGTCTACTGAAGCTTGCTTCCAGTCATACACTTCGAAATGTAGCTTGAAGGATAGTGACTATTGTACAAACTTAACTTATAGAAACAAGTCAACATTATACGCGTGATACTGGTTACTCCTTAGTGGCCAATCAGTGATTAAGCTAGGGTAGTGTTGCAGATCTTGATCCATTTTTAAGTCTAATCTGGTTGATTCAGGCATAGTATGAGATACAGAATTCTATGCTTCTATGTATTAAATATCTAACAATTAAAGAATCAGATGTTTCCCTCCACATTAACAGAAGCGTTTTACACTTCTAATTTTCAGCCTGTGAATGTGATAGAGCCGGATCTACAAGTGATGTCTGTGATGCTTTAACCGGACAGTGTCCATGTCGAAGTGGGATAACTGGTCTTCGGTGTGATCGATGCGATCGAGGAACAGAAGGTATCCTGCCTAACTGTAATCCATGCGGTGAATGTTGGAATAATTGGGATAAAGCAATCGATAATGTTATCAGTAAGTTCTTTTTCTGTCTTTTCCTCCCATAAGTAGTAATTTTATGAATGTTTGAAATTACACAGACTATACGGATGAATTCACGGCTGTGTGAAACTGGGCATAGATTTAAATAAATGGGCTTCAAAATCAACACATAGAAATTAGGTAGTTACCTAGGGTTCTAGTGGGAAGTCGTGGCCAGTAGGGTGCAGCAGGTCGGCTGTGACGACAAATACTCGCCGAAGACATTGGCTAGCGGTTGCGCTATATCGTGAATTGGCAGAAGTTAGAATTCATGAGCCATTGAATCAGGTCCCAGTGGCTTAATGGTATACGAGCTCGCTAGCCTTGTAACCAGAAGGTCCTGGGTTCGAATCCCAGTAGGTGCGTACTCCTGACAAGTCCCAAACTAGAACGAAACAGCTATCCAGTACTCCTAGTTTTTCCACTGGTTCTCTAACCAATGTCAGCTCATGATGAAATCCTGTAACAAATCAACCAAATCCCTACAAACAAATACTTGAATAGAAATTAAATTGTTGGTGAGAAGTACAAGAATATTATCGATGACCTAGCAAGTGATTGAACCCAGCACCTTCAGGCTACAAATAGTAAGTTTGGATACCTACAGCAACTAAGACCAAAAGCCGCTACAATTCTGAATCAAAGACTCCTTTTACTAACCTTTATACTTAAGACTACATTTAGGATCAGGCGGTTCGAATTCTTTGTAATATGTATCCTTAGCCAACCACAAATGGTGCAATTGAATAAACACATCAACAAAGAACACTACGTTTAATTTGCCATAGATTCAGAGAAGCCTTTGAACTAGCATGCTTATTCGCTCTCATAACTAGTGAGATTCTAAAGATACAATAAGCCGACAATCCTGATTTTCTAATGTAGGAAACGATCTCACCACTGAGTTTGGTTTTTAGCCTGTTCAATTACCCATCATAAAAGGAATTTGAAAAGAAGGAGGTGCAACGAAATTTTAAGAAAAAGAAAGTAAATGAATTCATAGATTACCAGCAGTAGTATTTAGAATTTTAAAGTCCATAAGAAGTAATCTCCTCTTCTCTAATGTTATTCATTTCGAATCATTTGATTAAATCTCCACCCATAAAGTATATTGTAGGATAGTCACAAACTTTATGCATTACACTGAAATCACCAAGATCGTGGCTGTTATTCTGTATTCAACCAGACGTCTCTAGCTAAAAATGGTGGGAATTATCAACTGGCAGGCAGGTGATCTTGACCTTCCTTTCTCAGATACTGCCAAATCGAAATGTCATCTGTAAACGCTACGTTAGGTTCTAGCTCCACTTCCCTAGCTACTCAGCAGAATAAATCTCTGTATTTGGTAATAATAACTTTTCGAATCCAAAATATTATTTACTAATATGTCCTTAAATGAAAATGTTGGTATTTTTCCTGAGAAGTAGATGTTCCATCTAAAGTTTTGAAGTAATTTCTGTGATTTAGCAGGTTATCGACAGTGCCTATTCATACTTTTTTTCTTCTTTCATCTCTTAAATACAGGTGAATTAGACCGTCTCCAGAATCAGACTGGTCAACAGTTGCCTAGAGAATTAAAGATTCTATTCGATAGTTTAGTAAGTCTTTTAGATCAGATTGAAAATCTACCCTGGATGACTACAGAAGATGCAAGGCTGAATGAATTCCGTGACATGCTAAAACGGACAGAGTAAGTTCATTAGTATTTTTTTTTAAATAAACACCTTTAGAAGATAATTTTGACAATATTGTTGTGAAAGGCATTCACTTAATTTTTAATAAATAAGTTTTCTAAGACTGATGACATCTGACGCGTTACTAAACTATTCAGAAATACCTTTATTGCCTTGCTTACTGAAGCTGGTATTCCTCAGAGTGCAGTTCTCTCTCCTTTTCTTCTTCTTTCTTCTTACATGACTTACCTCCTCCTAGTGAAATCAACTTCGTCAAATATGCCAATGATCTGACCATCTCACTTCTGGTCAAGTCCCTGTTTGACTGTTGCAAATTTAATTGCTTTTTGTCGGTTATTAGCCAGTGGTCTAAACTAAATGGTCTTAACTAAACAGCTGTTTAAGTATTTTTCTTGTAACTCAGTATGGCAATAGTTCGTTCATAAAAGATTATATGCTCGTACTACCAAGTATAGGAACTCAACGATACCATATTTGGCCAGTGTTCTTTGTGAAAGAGTCAATATAAAGCGTGAAACTTGTGGGTTACTATGTTTGTTAGCTAAACAATTGGCCCGTTTCTTATCTCCTATTTGTAATCTATGTGACACTACCTCAATTAACTGATTATCTTGGCTACTAAACTTGTTATTATTACCTACAATTTTCTTTCGTATATATATATATATATATATATATTTATATAAAATGCCATAAGGCTTTTGTGTGAAATTAATAAATTTAGCATGTTTTTGTTATTGTATAATTTGTATTCCTTTTACAATTTTTTCACTTATCATTCATTTTAGGGAGACGGTTATGCGTTTATCCTCCCTTGATCAATTCACAGACAGTCTAGCCAAATGGGATGATATAATGACTGAACGATTAGCTGAACAAATGGATCGTAGAGCACGTGTAAATGAAATGAAAGAACGCCTTGAAGCGCTTACTGAACAACTTAAAGGTGCAATGGATGAATCTACAAGATTAGAACATCTTGATCAGAAAGGTTTGGAAAAAAAAACCGACTTTTTATTAGAGACGTTTTTTTATGGTGTATACTACTATTAACTGTTATGAGTAATTGGAAATCACTTGCAGTAAACAATAATACATGTTAATTCGAGCAAACTAGTCAGCTGAGAAACCACAAATTCTGAATAGACACCTGAGAAGACAGATGACAACATAGAACGGTGTTAAGCATTTGCGAAATACACATTTCAAGGTGAAGATTTATTGCGACATCATTTGGAAGCGAAATGTGTTCAGACCATATCACATGATTTGTTTGATACTGAAAATGGCGTGAATCTTGTAAATACGTTATATAGTAATAAGTGTGTCGCTGAAGCTGCTGTCTGATCAGATAACCTCAAAGCTGAACGAGCAAATAATCAGAAGGCACATGAGTTCCTCCAAGATTGAAGATACGCCTTGTTGACGAGTGTCAACAAACACAAAACCTAAGTCCAAGGCTACCTATCGATTGCACCATGATGGCAAACAACCTAATATGGTTTCCACATTACACACTTGACTGACAGAATTCGGTCTGCCACGACACCAAGGACTATTATTATTATTGTTTCCTTTAACTCCTAGAGGAACATAGGAATTCAGCCGTGCGTCTCCATTGTGTTCGGTTCTCTGCTAGAGTCTTCACCTGGCTCCAAGTCTGCCCACACGTTTTCATCTCCTCTTCACATGACCTCTTCCAAGTCACCCTTGCACTGACGACCAACTCGCCGCTTCCCTTTCGGGTTCCACTCGAGCAATGGCTTGTCTAGTGATGTCACTTGATGGTTTCCTCAGAGTATGACCAGCCAATCCATCTCCATTTCTTCCTGCCCATTTGTTGCACAATCGGTTCCTGCTGTGTTGGTTCGCTCCCAAAGATCCCTGTTGCTGATCTTTTCTGGCCATCTGATCTTGAGTACTGAGCGAAGACAACTGTTAATGAAGGTTTGTAGTTTGTTTGAGATACTCTTTATGACGCGCAGTGCAAGTCCCTGATCCGTATGGTAGCACTGACTTCACATTGGAGTTGAAAATCCGGATCTTATTTTTGATGTTGAGTGCTGTTGACCTCCACACAGACTTGAGAGTAATGAAAGCTTGTCTTGCTTTTCCGATTCTTGCTTTGATATCCTCGTCAGTTCCGTCTGCCTGTAGTTGAAACGATGCTTCCCAGGCAGGGTGGGTAAAGGAGGTTGTTTCTTTCAGGTTCCTCCCAATTATGCTGATTGTTGTCAGTTGTTGTTGTTGCTGTTGATGGTGTTGCCCAGGAATCTTCATCACCTCTGTTTTCTCTACGTTCACGTGATATTAGTTACTTCCTAGTGTTTGATCAAGAAAATCATTCACTACTTCAAAATGGTTAGCAAGCAATGTTACTGGGTATTTTCTAGTACGGATATAGACTTCAATCTTCGGTGTTGTTTTACGAGCAAGGTGAGAAAACCACTAGAATTCATGAGTCATCTATCTTCTATACTGACCATATTTACATCGTTTATAATGGCAAATAAATGATAGTTTTTCTCGGAATATTTCATTCTTGTAAAATGAAAGACAGTGGAAATTCGCATTAGGTTGCTAAGGAAACAGTTCCCGTCTGTGTATTAACCATTCTCCCAGGGAACTTTCGAGAATTTTAATGATTTGAATCAATTCAGATGCTCATCTATAGTTATGTTAGGTAATGGCAGTATTATTAATCGTATTCTTTTAGAATGAAGACAGTGTCGAAAAATGTGCAACCAACAAATAGAGTTCATATATGCATAGAGTCTTCCATGTGTTAATGATAGACAGAATGAAATCAGATATATCAGCGGCAACTGTATCCCCACTTTTCTGGTTTGATGTCTGAATATTATAAGTAGAAAAATGAAATTCAATTGTCAAGGCTATTTCATGTAGTACTAGATGTTAGAATTCAGTGGGCAAGAAACCCAGTCTGACCCATGTTTTGGTTTGACCGACCCTGGTCAGCAAGTTATGCACACATTCTTGAGTAGATTAGTGTTATCTCTGAAAATATGAACCTAATTGTTAAAGAGACAGATTAGATAATACACTTTAATCGGTCATTGGAAGATAATCAATAAGGCTTACAAGTTACCTAGTCATTTTACTGTTAAAATTAATTCTTTCAGATCAATGTAGTGACTCCAGCACAATTTATTGCTCATAATCATATCAAGATGATCACACGACTTCCTAAATTCATTTATATAGTTCCATTGTTTTTCACTTGATTTTCATTTGATTTGATTGGTAGTAATATTTTCCATATTTCAGGAATGAGTGATGAATCATTCCTATTGCATGTGTTGGGTGTAGATTCGATGAACAAGGTTTCAGTAATCAACCTCTCTCTCCACCTACCTAGATTACTTTTTAGAATTTTAACCCTCTCCCACCCAACGTATTGTGTGGTTGTGTGTTAATGCATTCATTGCAATTTCTGAGCTTTTTTCTAAATTACTTAACTTCTCTGGGTCAACCATTCTTACCTTAGCTAAATTCTTGTGTTCTGACAATTTGACCTATGTAGTTGACCTCACAGTCATTGCAGGGTATTTTGTAAATTATATTATTTTGTCTAATTGGGCCAAGTGGATCCTTTAACCTACGGAGCTTGTCCCTGAGTGAGTTTGTAGGTTTAAATGCCATCATTGTTCATCGAATCTACACCCAACACATGCAATAGGAATGATTCATCACTCATTCCTGAAATATGGAAAATATTACTACCATTCAAATCAAGTGAAAATCAAGTGAAAAACAATGGAACTATATAAAATGAATTTAGGAAGTCGTGTGACCACCTTGATATGATTATGAGCAATAAATTGTGCTCGAAACGTCATCAGTAAACATTACTGTATAATACTGTGAGACTTCATCAAAACAAAATTTACCCATAACGGAATTACACTCTACCACAGTGTACAAGTTTTATTCTTATACCAATGTATTGACTTCTTCTTCGGCATCTAACAGTATTATATGATCACTGAAAATATGTTCTGGAGTTCCTCATATAATCTAATTCACTCTTGTATGTGCTAAATATAGGTGACTAACATTTTTACGAACAAGTGTCTATAGATGATTAGGAGATTTGTTTTTTAACGGAGTGATATCAGATTACTCTGCAACACAGATACTAATGGGCTAGGAAACTAATGAAAATCAACTTAACCTGAACAGCTGTTTCGTTAAAGTGTACCACTTTCAACGATATATAGAATTTTGGAACTTCAACTCATTAATACATTCGTGAAATTCTCTCAACATCTGACAGCCTTGATTTTGACCTTCAAAGTGTTCGTAGATACTAGTGAAGATTTCCAGACTAGGATTAAACATCTCTGCAAGGCTGCTTAGACTTCAGGGGTTCTTCAGCTTATATTCTTATATGTTTGTTGTTTTTCAAAATGTAACAAACATTTATTTTCTTGTAGGAGCATATTTATCAGTTCTACGTTCAAATGATATTGCGAATAGAGTGAAAGGCATTCAAACGAGTATAGAATATCAACGTAGTGGATTTCAAGGTGAATTAGTGAACTCAAAACGTGAACTTGAAGCAGTTCAAACACGTGCCGACCAAATGAATGCAGATTGGACACAATTAGATAGAAGGATTGGAGAATTTCGTGAGAAAATTCGTCAAACAAATAGACTGGTAGGGAGCATACGATTTTTGAAGGGTTAACCATTGATGATGGGTGTTAGACTATCACAGGCTTGAAGTTTTTTTTCGATATCACCTAATTGACTAGCAGTATGACTAACTGTTGAATGCCGCTGGATGTCGATTAAGTATTTCAGTAGTTGTCACCTCTAATTTCCTGCAGATGATATTTATAGAAAATGCATCAAACTTCATAATGAACCAATAAGATTTGTTCCTTCAAAGTTACCTAGCACATAATAATATTGTCAATCATATTATCTATGTGTGTGTGCTATCTAATGCTTGCTAATCACAAGACTTCCAAACTATAAAACATTTTGGTGGAACAATTGAAAATAAAGTCAATTATACGTAAACTTTTAAGTTAATCGATGAGTAGTGAGTGTAAAACGTATGCGTGGCATTTTGGCGCGAAATCACTTTTGAATTTTCACGCTAATATTTAATATTGATTAAGCACCATAGACGTATCAGTCCAGAATATGTTATAAATGCGTACTATATTGTTCAGAATGTAATTATAATTTAAGTTTAAAATTTGTTCATAGATGTGAAATTCTTCATTTGACAAAATATGTTTGTCTTTCACATAAACAAAAACTATTGAATATCTTTAACACTTATTAGATTGCTTAAACCAATGGTATTTACGCCTTGATTTGTCTCTCTGCAAATTAATTGATATATAGTCGCTATAATGACTTTACTCAGTAGTTCATGAGCGGTTTGGAATTGTAAAGTTCACAATACTGTCTTCGCCCCACTTCACTCGCAAACACTACTTGTAGTTATTACCATAGTTCTAACAGTGTTGATGACGTTTAGGTTGATCCTAATTTCTTAGAGAAATCCATCAGATAGAAGTTGATATACTCACTATATGTGTCTCATGAGTTTGTCTTTAACTTACAAATTGAATTTTGTCTTACTGATCGGTTCAAACGTGCGTCGGTGGTACAGCGGTAAGGACGCTCGCCGACCATACACATGGTCCGGGGTTCGATCCCCGGCCGACGCACGCCTTTACCTCGCTAAACCAGAACTAAAGCTGGTAAAGAGGAAAGGTTGAGCATGAGGATAGCAACCCTATCCTGTAAAAATAAACGCTGCTACAGAAACGTCAAGCCTCCAGCTTGAAGCCCTATGTTCCACTGGGGAACGTGAAGGAATAAAAAGAATAGGTTCAAACAATTAAAACTTGACTGATGGATCACTAGTGGGTAAACATTTTCAGGTGTCTAGTCCATTGTGTTGACCGAATTTCACCAACCAATTTAGCCATATGTTCATCAGGCTAAAGTAACAGACCAGTAAGCAGGGAATATATAATCGGACCTACCTGCCGAATACTCCCAACCGCCTAACATTAATTCAGTGTGCACAACAGTAGTGAGTCACATAGCTTGTTACAAAAATTCCCTGTTGACAGATTGAGTTCAGTCAGAATTGACACTAAGGATTAGACTTACGGCACTAGTTACTCCCCACTGACCAGTCAATGAATTCATTACAGTTCTACAGAGCGTCAGTCGTGAGCTTGAATAGCTCATTACAGCTGACCACAGCAATGTGCGATGCGAGTTCGAATCTATTAGGAGACATCAGTTCCTTTGATGTTACAGAGACGCCTTGCCGATAAGTGCTTTTTTGTTCCTTCACGTTCCCAGTGGAACATAGGGCTTCAAGCTAGAGGCTTGAAGTTTCTGTAGCAGTGGTGATTATTTCTCCAGGATTGGGTTGCAAGCCCCAGCTAGCCCAACGTTTCCTCTTTACCAGTCCTATTACTGGCTTAGCGAGGAAAGTGAGTGTGTCGGCCGTGTATTGAACCCCGGACAATGTGGATGGTTGGCGAGCGTCCTAACCGCTGTGTCACCGACGATAAGTGCTAGTAAGCACGAAATCTAAGTCTAGGCTGTCTCACCTTCTACCTTCAACCATGTGACATGATAAATGCACTGAAAAATATTTATCAGTTTAAAAAATGATAAAGTTTAATGGTTAATTTGTTTATTCATACTTGTGAATACCCACTGATATATCTGAACCGAACTAATTAGCCTTGTTTGCATAGATAGGCTCCTTGAACGGCTGCCTCGTTATTACCATAATCAATAACTCGAAGTTACTTGTTTGGTGGTGGTTAGTAGTGGGATCCATGTTGCGCATTTCATCGATTTTAGGGCTCATTCACCGGATATACCCGCTTAGTACCCATCGCTTCAAACACCGAAGGGTTATGTACTAGGTTGGGGAGGCAGGCGGTTTACTTTTGGGAGATTTTGTCGAACCATCAACAATCTACGAGACTATTGACTGATTGGGTTTAAAACTGGCTTCCTATTTACTTATTCCTCAAACTATATCAGTTTAGGAAGAGACTAAGGAAATATCCAAGTTTCCGATGAAGCATTTTGTTTAGTTAATGGCTTATCAATCTACTTTACCTAAAACCCTTGATTTTTATTTACTGTGAAATTAAAACTTGAACATTTTGTTTTAAACGGTGATCCATTGCAACAATATCCACATTTATGTTTCAGATATGCGGTGACAACAGTCTTTTACCTGGTGAAGATTCAGACACTAAAGTATGTCCATCTACTTGTGGTGGAGCTGGTTGTGATTACTTTTCCAAATCCACTGATCTGTTATCAACACCTTTGATCACTACGAAAAATGGTCGTCCATTGACAGGTGCAGAGCTGAATTTGCGCACTGGACTGATTAACACATGTGGAGTCAATGCTGGATGTAATGCTAGTAATGCTGGACGGTTAAACTCACGCATGGAAGAGTATTTAAATCTTCAAATTCGTTTGACAAATGCACTACACAATGTTTATCGAGCTGAAAGTGTTATTTCAAAGGTGAGTGATTGTTAGATATTACCCTTGTTGTAAATCACAAAGCGTAATTTTTCAACTGTATTTGTTGACAGTAAAAAGACGTCACCAATTGATGGTATATTTTGATTCTATCACTTTGACTGTTTTCGACCTAATCCTCTGTCAACCAACAATGTTCATCGAGGAAGGTGACTGATAGGTATGCGTAACATGTGTCCTGGCGATCTCAATCTATGCAGCTTCACAACCTCATCGACTGATTTTAATTCTTTTAAATATCACTCTATGCTTAACTTCAAAATCATTCACTACCGGTCGGTCGGTCGGTCGGTTTTCGACATAGAACTTTGCACTGATGTGCGGCAGTTCAAGTCGCCACAATCTATGTAGCACGCAAAGCAAGAGAAGGAAGTAGAAGAAATGCATAATGGAAACAGTAAACAGAGGTGTGAGACAAAGGAATAGTAATAACGGAGAACAAAACAGTTTAATTGGAAATCATAAGTCACAAGGAGTGGATGCATCTGCGCCACTGAGAACGATTTTGAGCCATGTCACCAATTGTTTCCAACCATTGGTTTTTACCGTCCCGAGGACCCCAACCAGGAAGTCTACACCTTCCTACGTAGCTTAGATTAACTGTTGTAGATTTCATTGATTGGTGCCATGTTTTCGTTTGACCGCCGCTAGCTCTTTTCCAGCCTGGCCCTATATCAGCTAACATTGCCCGTCGAGGAAGGCGATGACTAGGCATACGTAGCACATGTCCTAACCATCTCAGTCGAAGTAATTTCACAGTCTCGTCGATTGATTTCCCCGCCTTACCTAGCACTCGACGCCTAACCTCAATATTGCTCACCTTATTATACCACTTCACGCGGGAGATAGAACGCAGACACCTATGATCGAAGACAGCTAATCTTTTCATGTCGTCTGCTCTCAATGGCCAGGTCTCACAGCCATAAAGGAGGACGGAGCGGACTGTTGAGCAGTACACACGCCCTTTGGTCGATAGTCGGATATCGCGTCTACGCCAGAGACGGCGAAAACTGGCGAATGCGAACCTAGCCCTCTGTATTCGTGCCGAGATTTCGTTGGAGATCAACCCGTTGGGGCTGATGGTACTTCCCAAGTAATTGAAGCGGCCAACGTGTTCTACCACTTCACTTCCTATTTCTAATCTAGGGGTCGATGAGGTCCAATCCTGCAGCATCATCTTACATTTTACAGGGGCGAATCGCATGCCAAACATACGAAGATTGTTGCTCAGGGTGTTCAGTAGACTCTGCATTTTGTCAGAGTCCTCGCCTAGAAGGACTATATCGTCCGCATATTCTAAGTCAACGAGATTATTCCCTGGTAGCAAGTCAATCCCTGAGTCGCTGAAGTGTGATAGGGTTAGATCCATTAGTACGTCTATGATGAAATTGAATAGGAATGGTAGAATTTAAACACCTATGGTCAAACACAGCTAGCCTGTTCATGTCTTTCACTTGAAAGACATAAAGGAAGAAAAGAGGGAACTTCTGCGCAGCAAACACGTCATTTATTCGGTATCTTGATATCGCGTCAACGCCAGAAATGACGTAAGTTGGCAAACGCCACATAGGCCTTCTGCATCCATGCTGCTGATACAAGTTCTCAAATAAGTGAAGTGGTCAATACACCTATCCACTTTACCCCCCTCCCTTAAAATAGAAGTTGGTACACACTTGTTTTAGAGCATCTTAGATCTGACGTTTAGAACTTTTTTTCTATTCAGCATAAATGGTGGTGGAGTGGATGGTGGCAGCGATGGTAAACAATTCTTAGTCTGTTTATTCTTATTCCTCTCTAATCCAGTTGCAGAATTATTGTCGCTGTTGGAAAATGTTTGAATACTATACAGATCTCCTGTTATTTGAAGCCTTTGTTGTCTTCGTGGTTGAATAGGTATATTGGTAACAGTAGATGAGGTGTTTTCTGTGGGATTAGTACTAGTACTAGTAGTCGGTATCGTTTTCATGGTTCTAAGATTGGCAATACCTGTAGTTTGTTTTATTATAACGACAGGTAGTTGTTGTTGTAGAGGCGTTTAAATGGATCTGATTTAAGATCAATTTTTTTATTCCTTCACGTTCCTAATGGAACATAGGGCTTCAAGCTGGAGGCTTGAAGTTTCTATAGCAGTGTTTGTTTTACAGGATGGGGTTGCTAGCCTCATGCCCAACCTTTCCTCTTCACCAGCTTTAGTTCTGGCTTAGCGAGGTAATGGAGTTTGTCGGTTGTGGATCGAAACCCGGACCATCTGCGCGGTCGGAAAGCACTCTTCCACTGTGCCACCGATGCACACACAGTTTACTTCCTGTTATTCCGAAGTTATATTCTAAAATGCTAAGATAATAGATTAGTTCACAAAGTATTTACTAGTTCATTGGAGACAGGTTGGATACTGAAATATGTGAAATAAGCATAATCCATGTTCATAGACTGTGGGGATTGTGAATGAAAATCACCTGCGGATTAATGCCCTTTTTGTTTTAAGATTTCAATTTACATCAATATAATAAAAATACTTCCATATTAGTTTGTTTATTAGATGTATCACACAGTGAAACAGTATTGCTATTTACTGGATGACGTTTCGAACACACATAATCATATCAATTATAATCACACGACTTTGAATCTTGAGTTTTATAGTTTTCTTTGTCTTCTCCTGTTTGGGAGAATCTAAATCATCAGTATGTATTCCATACAAGGAAGGAACCTCGGAAACCTTACGCAGTATTTTTAACAAGGCAGGAATAAAAGTGACCGGCATTCAAACCCACAAACTAAATTAGAAACAAGCTTTGTCGGTTAAAGGATCAATCCTGTGCAGCCTTTAAAACAAAACAATTTAGTGTATCTAATACCCTGCCTGAAATGACTGTCAGGTCAAATACATAGGTCAAACTAGCAGAACAGGGGCAGTCAGACTAGCTGAACATAAAAACTTAGCAAAATCTAGACTGGTTGACCCATATAAGATAAGAAATCTAGAGAATAGTTCAGCTATAGCACTACATGCAGTTACACACAACGATACAATAGGATGGATGGGATAGGATGACAGTTTTAAAATCTAATGTCACAGCAGGGTATAGGGAGAGATTGATAACAGAAGCTTTGTTTATCGAATCAACTGCAAATACATGTAATAGGAATGATTCATCACCTGTCCCCGATATCTGGAAAATTCTACTCCCCCTACGACAAATAGGAGAAGACAAAGAAAACTATAAAACTCAAGATTCAAAGTCGTGTGATTATAATTGATATGATTATGAACAATAAGTTTTGTTCGAAACCTTGTCATCCAGTAAACAATACTGTTTCACTGTGTGATACATCTAATAAACAAACTAATATGGAATTACTTACTACCACAGTGCCCAAGTTTTACACATATTTTAATGATAAAAATACTATTTGTAGCATGAAATGTGAACACATTATTTCCTGGCTTTTCTTAAGCCAGCCATAAGCAGCCTAAAATATACATCAGAATAATAAAATAAGAATATACAATTATTTTCCTGCTGATCAGAACTAAGCATGGAGATGATCACTTTTGCAGAACATCAGATGGAGCATAATTACATTACATAAACCCTGCAGTTGACACAGAAAGAAACTAACTATTTATAGGAAGTTGGGAAGAAGATTTCAGATTTCTTGGAGAATTACTCAGTAACATACTGGAAAAAAATTATTTAATTATATAAACTCGAATAATTGAGTTAAGGTCAATGGTATTAAATGATTAAAAAATGATTGGTATTATTAATACAGCAGAATGCATCCCTATGTACAAAGTTGAATAGTTGTTAACGTTGTAAGATGAGATAAATCATATATTTCTTGTTTAAATGTAGGTTGGCTGAAGCCATTTTATATTAATCGATACAGCAGAACAAATAAAATTTGAATTTTTTGTCTGTTGATTGTTGTGAAGTCAGTCTGGAAATTTTTAAGTCTCAGGCTTTTGCAAATACGTCCAGAGTATTGAATGAATGCCTATCTTTCTCTCCTCTAAATGTGACTTGTTTTGGTACGTATGTGCCCATTTGTAAAGAGTTGGAGGTGACTTATGATTGGTGCCTGTCCTTTTACGATTAATAAAGAGCAAATTTAGTTCTGCAAACAGTAATATGTTTGGTTATCTGATAAGTCTTAACAGAGGTAGTTCTTAGTCTTTTATTTATTCGTTGTAATATGCCATCGTCTTTCAAAGTTAACTAAATAAATACTGACTTTTTAATGGCTACAGTCAGGTCTTTTTCATTCCTACAGTGTTTCCACCGTACAGAGTTATAACTTTCTTTGAATAACAGTTTTCATTAGAATACTTCTCTATATTTATGTGAAGTATACCTTAGTAATCAGAAATGACATAAATCATACTTACAAATTATTCAAAAGTTCCAACAATGTGCACCGAAATATTAGTTTCTCAAAAGAAACTGATTTAGTGACAAAAGATTCAACTTCCATGATTTATACATGGGACGAGAACGGTAGAGTGGAATATTTCACAAGGATACCTCTACTGAGTGGTATATATAGACTATGCTAGTCTCTGTTTGTTCTTAGCTTGATTTACATTTTCCGACGATTGGTTGTGTTGGACCAAAACGCCTGGTCTGTGTTGATAAACTGGCTCCTAGGACGAACGCTTGCATGATATCTAAGCATTTAAAGTGGGGTTGTTAGGTTTGTTGGTGACTAGCAGTGAAATTCAGAATGCACACGACGTCCTACTCGGGACCAGGCTTTACTTTATCATTCTTATGCTTGTGTACATAAATAATGGGTAAATATGAAGTATTGGAACGATAGAAGACAAGGGCCATGTGACAGATCGTTTATTGAGGAAATCAACAGATATTTATAGATTTTTATGTACATTATTATTAGCGTTATTGTTAGCAGAGAGGTAACGTCTTCTGATTGGTTGTTTTCCTGATGAAGGTTATACTGTCATCTTTTGGTTGCCGCTTCTTAGACAATCCGTCGATATATCTGCTAATCGTGTCCGCCCACGCTAAGTCTGCTGTGATTGGTTGTTGAGTTCCTCAAGGTTAGGGTTTGTTCTTGTTTTTTCTCATGACCAATTTTGGCTTGCAGACAGCTCTCACCACAGTATCAGAATCCAAGCTAATGACCTATCAGATAACCTTGAAGAACCAATCAGAATAACTGCATGATAACAATTGTTAGCTTATTGTCAGAGTGTAATTTTCTCTTTCTGTCAGCTAGTTCAGCCGACAACGCGGTGTTGATAATCTGTTTTCACATACAAAAATCTCTTAAATTTTTGTTTTCAAATAGGTTCATTCTAATCGTAAAAATGCAGAACAGATTGTGACAAATTTAACCTTGGAAGCAGCAGCTATTAAAGAACGCCTAGCCAATATGTATAATCAAACACAAAATTTAATTAAAGAAGCTGAGAAATATGTGGATATATACAGCAATATGCGACAGGATAAGTTTGATGAAGTAAGTGTACTATTATCTTTGTCTAATGGTTATTTATAGTACGTAAGATTATTGTAAATAACTTTAAAGGTTAAAGGTGTACAGAATTCAGAAGAAGACCTTATTGGATAGCAAGTGTTATGATTAATGGACAGTACCACATCAGAAACGAAAAGAAACGGGGAACTCTCGGGAGGAGCCAACCAAGAACTCAGCCCAACAGAAATACTGAAAGAAATGAAAATAGACTGGACACACGCTGAGAAGACCACTGAGTGACATAATATACCAGACTGGCCCTCAAGTGGAACCCAAATGGGAAACGATCATTTTCGAGTTGATCAGAGTGTAACATCGAGGAGAATGCGTGAGGAGGTGAGAGCTTACGGCCAATAGTGGAGCCGCATAAATGGGGGAGATATGCTAATGAAGTCATTTGTTCTACTCGGGATCTAGGCGAACAATCACAACGAATCATTCATTGATTGATATGACACCGAGGCATTATACATGATGGTTGGCGTAAGACAGTTCTTGTAGGCCAGCTCGGACTAGTAATTCTGATGCCGCTGGTTCTAATTCTGCCACGGCAAAGATTTTCACTGTACTTTCGACCATTATCCACTATACTAAATAAATATATTAGAATAAATGTTATTCCACAAATAATCCTGTTTTTGAGTGGTTCAACATTCTGTCTTCTGGCACCAGCCACCTATTTCATGGCCAACTACTATTCTGGTCACCGTTTTCAGATAAAGTAATTGACCTAAGATCTCAGCCTAACCACCATGCAATCATTATTCTACATTGATGCAATTTATCGCGTTAAAGTGATACTGTTTACTACAAGGGATTAGTACTGAGGAGTTATTCAGACCTGCGTTACCTGTCAGTTTAATTTTGTCAATATAGATAGCCATTTGATTTTCCACTCAAGAAGAAGGTGCATTCGTATGTCTGTAACTATTAAAAACGCTGCGTTAACTTATGTATTACGGGAATGAGTTGGCTGTGGTTGTCCACTCAAAATATCCCAATGTATTCACGTGTTTATAGCATCTACAAGGCAAGTTCTTTTCAATGCCAGCATAATAAGTAGTGTGTTCTTCTAAAAGTGAAGGAGTGCACAAGCATGTCATCAAGTCATCACCACCAGAATAGTGGACACGACGGATTCATCTATAAGAGTCGGAGAAGTCTGATTGCAAACCAATTATTCAAATGGATTCCAAGATCCGAAATGAATTCACTACGTGTATGAACCGGTTTTGGTTACCGGCAGTTATAGGATTGTAGCACCTGAAGGCGTGTTTTTTCTTCTTTGTGGACCAAACTTCAAGACAGTGACCGTGAAGTGAACTCTTGCTATGACTAACTGCTTTTGTTTAGACGTCGTGATAGCTAAGGAATAAAGGTTGTATTTAGCAACTGATAACAAGAAGCTTAAGATGAACTTCCTTATGGACCTCTATCAAGTTATGCTCATTTCCAGGTGCTGATCTGTAGAGATTTGATTGATTTTGAATCAGACCACTGACATCAGTTTGAGAACCAATTAAAATCACAGAGTACTACAAACCTATTTCGTCGTATTTGGGGTGTCATTAGCACCAAAATGGTTCTCTAACTGGTGTCAGTTTACGATACAACTAGAAATCACTCACATTTCTGCAAGTCAAAACTAGAAAGTTAATCTAATGCTCACTGGCGAATGAATAAATGAGGCAGTCGAAGGGATTTCTGCTGAGAATTTGTGACCAGTGAGTTTCATCAAGTCGGATAAGAGGACAGGTACTCGGAAATGACATTCCCTGGCGGTGGCCCTTTTTATTATGATTTAGTAGACGTAGGAATTCATGGACCACTAGATGTCATCGCATTGGTTTAATGGTCGACGAGCCTCGTAACCTGAAGTTCCCGTGTCCGATCCCCGGTGGGATGATGAGTACGCACTCCTGAAGAGTCCTAGAATGGGAAAAAGTCTCTGTCCAGTACTCCCCGATTTTACTTTGTTCTCCAGCTGATAGCATTTTCTTATCTAACTTGAAACTAAAGAAAAGTATTCACACTTATCTTAAAATTATTTTAATAATCAAAATTTAATAATACAAATTACTTTTATTTCACTAGACTTTAAGGTCACTTCAAGAAATGAAACTGAATGTTAGTCAGTATGAAGCACAACAGATTATTCAACAGTTAGAACAGTATGCAGTCAACTTAGAAGATAAAGTTAATCGTATACTAGCTGAAACTGAAGCAGATCGTCAGCGTACTGGAAATTTACTAAGACGTGCCGAAAACATTAGGTAATTATAATAATTTTATATACTGAATATTATTCATCATAGATCGGATAATGAATAGCTTTTGGTATATTTTTTGTTTCATGAATTCACAGATTCATTTCTAAAAAACTCATTGAATGATGGTACTTTGTTTTATGAATTTAGTGTGGTTGTATGGCTTCCTAAATGTACACGGTGACTGGTCACTGTGTTGTGATCAATGTTATTTGTCCAATCCTTGATCTTGGTTTTGATTGGATTCTATGAGCCAAGTTTGTAATGAGGTTACCGAGCTAGATGACTCCTCGTGTAATGCATTTTGGATTGATGCTCGATAAGTGAAGTCCATCAACATGAAGCCCTAGACCTAGGTTTTGTGCTTGCTGGCAGTTGTCAGATATTTCCAGTCTACCCATCGTGGTTCAAATTGTACATATAGACACACTTAATCAAATTTCACCATTTTATAGAGGCACAGTATTCGCGATGTGCGTCGGTGGCATAGCGGTTAGGACGCTCGCCGACCATGCAGATGGTCCGGGGTTCGATCCCCGGCCGACGCACTCCTTTACCTCGCTAAGCCAGAAATAATGCTGGTGAAGAGGAAAGGTTGGGCATGAGGCTAGCAACCCCATCCTGTAAAATAAACACTGCTACAGAAACTTCAAGCCACTAGCTTGAAGCCCTATGTTCCACTGGGGAACGTGAAGGAAAAAAAACAGTATTCGCGATAGATAGATTCCCTGGTAATTTTCGCAAATCCTGCTCGCCTCGTCTTGCTCTGTTGGAGGAATGCATGAGCTAATATTACTTTATGAGTCTTCACATCACTGTTTTTGGCAGTGTCGAACGTTCACTGAGGTTAGCCAGTATTCATATTCATATTTTGTCACATCAAGACTATTCTGACTAGTAATACAACCTATCGCAATGCTAGCATTACGAACTTAATGCGCTAATGTTAACTACTCTAATGGCTGGTCACAATTTCAACTACCACAAAAGTAATGCCACCGGTATTCAGAAAAACCAACATACAAGACGGATCGTTGACAATAGAGCTTTCACGGTCTCAAACACCAGTCAAAACCCTTGACAGTGACCCTAAATATCTAGAGTTTAGGTGACTCTGACAGACAAATAATAATACAGCTAATACGTTCAAGGAGTTGGCTACCAACGGAGGGGGGGGGGTGCAGTCTTGAAAAAGAGCAGGCTATTCAAAAGGTCTCAGGAGTGCGTATACTGTGAAATACGGTTACTTTAAGGTTTTAGGCAAGAGTTAAGCAAAATTATGGAAATGCAGCAAAGACATTTATATCAACAACAAAAAATAAATAAAAACTAAGTGGTCGTAGTAACCAGTTGCTTGAGCCTAGTCTGAAACTCCCTATTTATGAGTATTTACTTTCCTATACCACATGGAATTCGTTTCGCAAATGAGTATGTCACCACTATGGCTCACTTTATTTAACGATAAAAACGCGGTGCTAGGCTTTTTCTACATGGCACAAATGTACATTTTAATTAAGGATATAAGCGAATGTTATATGGTATAGATTTTTTTTCCAAAATCTAGCTAACAATATCTCTCACAAAACTTAATTTAAATGTCATTGCTGTGCGACATGCAGTGTACATTGATAGAAGTAAAAATTTACGGACCCTTGTATACTGACCACGTGACTGAATGGTCAGCAGGCTCACCATTTGAACTGACAGTCCTACACTCTACCTCTAGTTGAAGCGTTCGTACTCACCACTGAAGACTCCAAACTACGGCGAGTTAGCTGTTACACACTAAATTGTTGTTGATGTCGGTCCGTGACGATACCTACACTGCATTATTTCACCTTGATTTGAACTTTCAACCAACTTATTAAAATCTCTTCAAAACTTTTCTAATGCATTTTTTGCAGGGATAAAGCAAAAGATTTCGCCGAACAAGTAAATCAATTAAAAGAAGCTGATAAAATATATCAAGAATTATCTGAAAAACCAATTCTTCAAAAGGTTGATGATATTGAATTATTTGATCAAATCTCACAGGTCAGTCAGTTGAAGTTTGTTTCTCTCATTTTTGTGTTAAAGCTGATATTGAACACTGGTGAGATTTTGTAGCGTTGTTTGATTGTAGTTGGTTATTAATGGAGTCTAGGATGCACGTTTCGACCTATTTTGGACTCGTCTTCTGGGTGTGCCAGAATCCTCAGTAAGTGGTGTTGTTCTCACCAAGACCACAGCTCATCACCTGTCGTTCTAAACGCCGTAGCGTTATCCACTAGGCAAGTGAACTGTGTGAGCCACTCTCTTGTACAATGGATATTACCTTGTACTGTTATACCAATCTCGAATTTTTCGTCTAAGAGTCGGTAGTATAAGCCGAAATGACAACAAAGACCGAGCACTTTAGTCCACTATAATTAACCAACAAGAAATTCAGTGCAGATATATGGTCTGACCTTCAAAGAAATAGCTACAAAGAGATGACAGAATAACTTCCAGCGAGAAAACAACCAGTCAGAAGACGTTGTTTCTCTGCTAAGAATAACATATAGTAATGTACATAAAAATCTATAAATATCTTTTGATTTTCTCAATAAAAGATCTGTTGCCTGGCCCTTGTCTTCTGTCGTTACGGAAGAACTCAGATAATATTGCAGAAATACACTCGTACATTTATTGGGCAGAGCAGGGTGATGAAAATACTGAATAGCCTAAAGAGAAACACTGCAAATTGTCAAACTATTAACTGTGGAATTTATTGGGTATAAAAGTTTCACCTAACTAGCGATGAGTAGTCAAAAAAGGTGTTACAATTTTATTTCAACGCCTTATGGTACGTATTGAAAAGAATGACATACTACTGATCAACATAAGTTGAATCATTTCAGTAGTCTGTAATCTTGTATAACAATTGTATTTCGTCAGTATTCTAGAATAAGCTTATTCTCATTAGGACTGTGTGTTTTTTTTTAAAAAATTTTATTAATATATTTAGTTAACAGAAAGAATTGATGGCTTCAAAAATCAAGTGAACATGTTTGCACACGACTCTAGTCTACAATCAGATATGGTTAGAGAAGCATCTGAAATAGCACAGAATTTACTGTCAAGTACAAATGTTGCTAGACGTGAGACATTGGACACACAACAACAGATTGAACTTGTTGAAGTAAGTTATTGATTGACTGTGCTGAAGTGGAAAATATCAGTTAGCTTATTTTTTTCAGTGTTCATACTTTTTGAGGTAGATTTTATTAAGAACCAATGTCAGTTAGAGAATCATTGTAAACTGTAGAGTTACTGGATAGCTGTTTTGCATTAGGTTGGGGTTATCGTCAGCCTACACCGAAGACTTCATCCGGGATCGAATCCAGGACCTTCTGGTTACGAATTGAATCTGTTGATCACTCAGTTAATAGCCCATAAATCCTAGACTACGTCTATTAGCACAATGTAGTGCCACAGTCATCCACTGCTAATACTAGTAGAGAGTTGTTAAGAAAGCAAAACCTGGTTGATAAAATTAACTGGGGCAGAGGTTAGAATTCATGGGCCATTGGATCGGGTCCCAGTGGCTCAATGGTATACGAGCTCGCCTTGTAACCAGAAGGCCCTTGGTTCGAACCCTGGTGGGTGCGTACTGCTGAAGAGTCCCAAACTAGGACGAAACAGCTGTCCAGTACTCCCAGGTTTTCCAATGGTTCTCTAACCAATGTCAGCTCATGATGAAATCCTGTAACTGGGGATATCTAGTGCATACGTCAGTACAGTCGTATCATGCTTGTTACAAATTTACTGCTAGTCATATAGATGAGAAAGGGCATTTGAAGTATGCAAGAAGAGAATTAATTTTTATTCTTATAGGAAAATGAAAAACTCACTATTACATCTAGTCATATATTCACTATGATAGTAGCAATTAATACACAACTATGTTAGTAGTGGCGATAGTAGAAGTAGTAGGGCCTATCTAAGCTGACTGATTGACTGACTTTCAGCATAGAACTTTGCACAGAAGTGCAGCAGTTCATTTTGCCACACACCATTTAACAAACAAAGGTAGAGAGAGAGAAAAGAGATTCACAATAAGCAGAAATGTACGGGAAAATGTACATTAATAAGATATGCTATAGTACAAAGAGTGCATATATCTGCGCCACTGTGAACGATTTTGAGCCATATCATAAACAGTCTCCCGCCATTGCTTCTTCTATCCCTGGAAACTCAGGCATACAATCTACACCTTCATATATGCCTCAAACCAACTGTCACAGATTTCATAGACTACGACCAGGTTTTGGTTTGACTACCCATAACTCTTTTCCAATGTCATACGGTGCCACCTACCATTGTTTGTCAAAGAATACAGAGGCTCGGCATTCGTAACATGCATCATCGCGATCTCAGTCGATGTAGATTCACAACACTATCCACTGACTTGTCTCCCTACCTGCCTAACAGTTTGTGGTTAACCATATTATACCATTTGACACGGGAGGTAGAATGCAAACATCTGTGGTCAAAATCTTCCACCTTCAACCATCATTCCTCACAGCCATAAAGAAGAATAGAGCTAATTGCTGCTCAGCACATCCGTCCCTTAATCGACAGTCAGATATCACGTCTACGCTAGAAATGAAGTAGGTTGGCAAATACCACACAAACTTTTTGTAACCTTGTTGAGTTTTCGTCAGCAACTTCTCAAATTAGTGAAGTGGTCAGAACATTCCACCACTTCACTCCGTATCTTGAAGCTAGGAATAGGTGTAGTCCAGTCCTGCACAATCATCTTATATTTAAGGAGAGAAAAATTGCATGCCGAACATTCGAAGATTTCTGCTCAATCAAGACTTCGTCTGATTCGCGAAGGATTTAGACTTAATGTCAATAATAACTGTCAAGTTTATAAGCTGTTTAATACGCAATAGAGAGGAATATTGTCTTGTTTTTTTTTAATGGTAACTGTACTGAGTCTTTAATGCTTTTCGCAGTAGCGAGTCGTTCACACCTACTAGATTCAGTAAATGCAGTTCTGGGGGTTTACACATCCAAGAATTCATAATAACACGAACAGACAATACAGAAAAGTGTGAGATCTAGTTAAGGAAATCTCTAAATATCCAGATTATAGAATCTCCATACTACATAATTCTGGTTAAACACGGAACAGAATTAATGACAAAATAAACTTAGAAGAGTTTCATAGTCCTTCTTTGGTACCCGTTTGATCAAGGAATAGTTCTCACCATTATGATGGTACTCACTAGTATATATATTTATGCCGTTTTTACTTCGTAAAAGTACAACGAGTATTCACACACACCCTCTCTAAGGGTTTTCTACAGATTCTTAATGTTTATTTCTAACTCCTCATCTTTTAGTTAATTTACTTATACAAACTTTTCTGGGTTTTTTTTTCGATTTCTCAGGTATCCTTCAAACAACTGGATGAGAAAATGTTAGAACTTGACAATTTAATGCGTCTTTTAGATACAGGTGAAAAAAGACCTGAAGCAGAAATAGGTGTACCAGAGACAACACTAACTGATCCAACTAAATTAATGGAAGAAGTACAGAATTTCACCAGTACATTAGAAGATAATAGTGATGATGTGAAAAGTAAGTGGAACTGTTCAACTGACAATTATCAATGCACAGTTGTTGTTTTGCGATGTAGATAAAGAATGCAGGGGAAGCGTCTTCAGCGCATAACCAGGGGATCTGTGGGTTGAAACCCCCTGTCTGCTAACAACCTTCGGAAATTTAACTTGTCGGTTTAAGCACTCTGCTTTCGCTTAATGGGTCCTCGAAAGGGGATTCCTAGCATCGTCGCTGAAGAGAAAAACTCATGTCTTAAAAAACAAACTATACAATTCTGTTTAAAGAAAACCAAGAGAAGATCCGACATCTTGTGAACATTTTAAGCATATATCCGGGTGGACTGTATTTACTTCATATTTTTCAGATATAAGACAATTCTTCATCTAGTATTGGTCTGTACTAGTAATCTCATTTATGAACAATGAGTGAAGTACTTGACGTTAATGAAAGAAAACCTTATTCCTGCATACACATGGACATTATACCGCTTCGTCTATTTCCATCTTATTTATTCGATTACTCTTTTGTCCTGTTGTGATTTTTGTACACGATCAAAACTGGGAACAACCAACTACCGTCATTTGGGCATCCTAGACAACTTCTTCTTTAAGTTCAATTTATTCATTATGTTCAGTAAAATGGGAACTTCGGGTTAGGTTGGAAATATTTAACTAATATCAGACAAACATCAAAACTCTTTGCTTCCTATTGTTTAGTACAACGCTAATAAACACTTGATTCATCTTTGAATTACACTTTTGAATATTTATGGCCTGTAAGATTTTCTATAGTTTGGTTTGTAAGAGTTAGTGATGTTTTTACGAGTTGATCACGGATTGATATCAGTTAGAGAACCATTGAAAACCACGTAGTACTAGACAGCTGTCTCATCCTAGTTTGAGAATCATCGACAGTACGCACCCACTGGGATTTGAACCCAGGACCTTCTGGTTACAAGGCAAGCTCGTATATCATTCAGCCACTGGGACCCGATTCAATGGCTCATGAATTCTAACTTCTACCAATTCGTGATTTTAGCGCGACCCCAACCATTGTCGTTGGTGGGACATCCATCCACACACGTGACATCTAATTGGACCTCACTGGTCACGACTTCTCACTAGAACTCCAAGAAACTTCATCCTGTAACAAGTCCCAGTGGGTGCGCACTGTCGATGACTCCCAAACAGCTGTCTAGTACTCCGTGGTTTTCAATGGTTCTCTAACTGATATCAATCCGTGATCAACTCGTAAGAAATAAGATTATTGATATACGAATAGAACTTAAGCGTTGTGGTAGAGTAAAATTCAGTTATGGAGTGGATTTATATTTTGAAAAAGTCTAACAGTGTTATACAGTGATACTAACTGATGACGTTTCCAGCACAACTTATTGCTCATAATGATATCTTCAAATTGATGTGATTATGAGTAATAAATTGTGCTGAAAACGTCATCAGTAAGTTTCACTGTATAACACTGTGTGACTTTTTCAAAATAAATTTTCTCCATAATAGAAAGAAGTGTAGGATTACCCCTGGTATTAACTATTACTGTCGGTGGAATTGCATTCTCTGGGCTGAATAGTTTAATTGCGAAGCTTTCATTATCTCACTAGACAACATATTTAGCACTAACTTCAATATGGAGCGAAACACCAAGAATACCATGGAATTACTAAAAACCGGGTAAGTAATCAGATGAATCTGCATTCAACAGATCTAATGATGCAGATCAGATGAGGAAAATTCCATATTAGTTTGTTTATTAGATATATCACACAGTGAAGCAGCATTATTTACTGGATGACAAAGTTTCGAACAAAATGTATTGTCCATAATCATATCAATTGTAATCACACGACTTTGACACTTGAGTTTTATAGTTTTCCTTGTATTCTCCTATTTGTCGTCGTTGGGGTAGTAGAATTTTCCAGATATCGGGGACAGGTGATGAATCATTTCTATAACGTGTATTTGCGATTGATTCGATAAACAAAGCTTCTGTTATCAATCTCTCCCTATACCCTATACATTAAAATCCAATGTCACAGGGTATAGGGAGAGATTGATAACAGAAGCTTTGTTTATCGAATCAATCGCAAATACACGTTATAGAAATGATTCATCACCTGTCCCCGATATCTGGAAAATTCTACTACCCCAACGACGACAAATAGGAGAAGACAAAGAAAACTATAAATCTCAAGTTTCGAAGTCGTGTGATTACAATTGATATGATTATGGACAATACATTTTGTTCGAAACGTCATCCAGTAAATAATACTGCTTCACTGTGTGATATATCTAATAAACAAACTAATATGGAATTACTTACTACCACAGTGCCCAAGTTTTACACATATATCAAATGAGGAAACCCCAGAGACAACCAATCATGTTTAAGGTTATCAGTGGAGATTGTTATTAAACTCTTAGGTCATTTTTAAGGAATTAGTGCTTATGATTTTGTCTGGAAGGCAACAATGAAAGTTTCACAATCAAAGCACTCATACGTCTCAGACGGAATTCCGCCTAAAGTACTGAAAACGGGCCCAAAGACTGCGGAACATGTACTCACGTCATCATTGCAAAAGCTTCGGAAGGAAGGAAAGGTGCCTACCGATTGGAAGAAAAGCTGGCTAACTTGTCAAGCTACTAAAAAAGGGCAACTTACGCTTGCCTCTGCAAGAACTGTCGTGGAATCATGCTCTGTCCACACCAAATAAAATACTAATTCACATCATCCTAGAGAGAATAGAGAATGCCACCCACCAGAACAAGCTGAATTCAGGAAAGACAAATCATGTGCTGGTCAAATTACAACTCTGCGTACCATCATCGCAGAACAAAGCATAGAATGGCAGTCAAACCCCTCCCTCAAATTCATTGATTTCAAAAGAACCTTGACCAGACCGAGAAGTAATTTGGAAACTACTTCGACACTATGGGGTGTAGTGCCTAAGTCTTTATCAACCTCATTCAACAGCTGGCTATATGACAATACCACGTGCCAGGTGATCCACAACGGAAAACTCAGCGAGGCGTTCGAAGTGAATACAAAAGTAAGACAAGACTGGCTGCCTTTTATCACTGATGATATTCTTAGTTGTGGTGGACTGAATTATGCGTCAGTCTGTCCATTGGAAGCGGGGAGTCAGGAATACGCTGGACGACCAATAAGAACTCTAGAAGATCTGGATTTCGCAGATGATATATGTCGAATGTCACACAAACTTAAAGACTTGCAGACGAAAACTAACAAACTGGCTGAAGAGGCAGCGAAGACAGGACTCCAGGTGAAAATAGAGAAGACGGAGGTCAGGAAGATAGCTAACCAACCAGCCAACAGCGAAAACAACAACGAAAAGGATTTCCAACAGCCAGTTGCAGACTTTCATCAACAACTGCCCCTTTCACTGGCTCCACGCTGAAGATCAAATGGCAAGAAAGAATAAGTAACAAGAAACTCCGACTGGAAACAAACTAACCAAGAGCCGACTGCTCAACAAATATGTGGGAGAAAATGGAGACGGACCCGGCATACGTTGAGGAGACCGTCGAATGACATCGTGCTCCAAGGAATGTCTTGATTCGAATCCCGACGCGAAGCGACGAGTGGGTCGCCACATCAAGGGTGACATGGGGGAGATCGTGAGACGAGGAGATGAAGGATTATGGGCAATCGTCGATACAGCTTAAGAGGATGGCAGAAAATAGAACGAAGTGTAAATGTGTTGTTGAAGCCCCGTGTTCCACTCAGAACCCAAGGGAATAGTAAGAATGACAACCAAAATCATCCCCCACCTGAGCTAAAATCTTCTTCATTACTTCTAATTAACTACTATCTTTCGATTGGTCACTAGGTAGTAACTAATGCCATGAGTCTAGCCTCTGTTTTGGTGCAGAATGAATTTTATTCGTCAAGTTTGCAATGTGATCACTATGCTAGGTGGCTCACCATCATGGTGCACTGGAGATAATCAGCAGGAAGCCTTAGACATAGGTTCCATGCCTGTTGCCACTTGTCAGCAAGGCGTATCTGCATTCTTGGAGGAACTCATTTCCCCTCTTGGGATTCGGACCCAGGTCACCATGTACTGCAGTTAGAGACGTTATCACTATTGAGCTTGTAGGACTGTAATGAATACTTTGAGTGGTCAATGGCAGGTGGTAACCAAAGCCAACAAGCATAAAATCTAAGTTCAGGCCATCCTGAAGATTACCTCCAACCATTCAACATAAATCAATAAATATTGAATATATCATCATTGCTATCTGTGTTGTTTTTTGTTTTGTTGTAGGTATACTAATTAATTTAAAGAAATTAGAAACTGAAAGTGAACAATTAACTGATGAATTAAAAGGTTATATGGAAAAAATGCAACAACTAAGTATTCATTTATCACGTACTACAAAACACCATCAAGTGTGCACTTAAATTTACTGATTAAATTTAACCAAAACAACAACAAAAATCAACTACAGCTTTATTCTTATTGTTTTTTCTACTCAATACTACTAATAGTACTACTACTTATTATTATTGACTATAATAACTGTTGTAAGCTATAATTAACCGGTTATTTCTAATATTACTATTATTATTATCATTACTATTGCTATCGTTTTTACCTCATGGTCTTTATTACCTATTGATGGTGTCAACTGATAAGTGTTTTATTACGTTTCAATATATATTTATGTGTATGTATATGTATACGCGCATACATATATAGGGATATTTTTTAAAAAAGCCTCTCTGAAATTAACTTACTACCGCCTATTTTAAACTTGTAATAAACAAACAAATAGGACATGTATTTTTTAGGATATTATGATTTCTAACAAGAACTTTATTGTTCTTTTAATAATAATAATAAGTGTGCATCTATGTCAACGATAATTAGGTTATTTTAACCTTATCATGAATACGTGATTTGTTTTTGTCTTTTTTTTCAAATAAACAATTATGTAACATTTTAATTCATAAAAGACTTATTTCTTTGTCCAGCGATATATACTACTAATTGGTGGAAATAGTTGGAAACCAGTAGTGTTTGCTAGATAGATTTATTAATGTAATTATTATTCCCTTATGCCCGAGTGAGGCATAGGGCTACAACAGCACATCTCCATTTCATCCAGTTCTCTTCAGTCTTTTCTAGCTGGCTCAACGATTGCCTATAAGCTGTTATCTCCTCTTCCTTCTCCTCCCGACACAACCTCCTCCATGTCACCCTCACACTAGCGCCAGACGCGTCGTTTCCCATTTGGATTCTACTCAGGGATCTTCTTTATGTATGACGTCACTCAGCAGTCTCCTCAGCATGTGTCCGATTCATCTCCATTTCCTTAGGTATATTTGTGGGACTATGAATCCTTGGTTGGTTCGTAGCCTTAGTTCCTTTCTGCTTATCCTTTCTGACCGGCCATCTGATCTTCTGTGTATGGAGTGGAGGTAGCTAGCTATTGATGAAAGTATACATCCTGTTGAATATACGTTTCATGATGCGTAATCAAAGTCTTTGAATAGTATAGAAGCACTGACTGACTTGGCATTAATGTGTTGAAAATTCGAATCTTTTTCTATGTGCTGACTGAGTGAAGTAGGTTTCCAGGCTGATTTCAGAGTAATGAAAGTCTGTTTTGCTTTTTCGATCCTTCCCGCCTATGACATTGTCATTCGTGCCATCCGAATGTAGTTGAGACACAATGCTGTCCAGATAAGTGAAAGAGGTCACCCGCTTTATATTTCTCTCAATGGTAGTAATTGATGCTTGCTTTCATTGGTTAGGTATCCTCACCACCCCTGACTTCTCCATGTTCACTTGAATTCTCGTCTTAGCCACTTCTTGGTTTCCGCCTGTAGATCTTCGAATTTATACGACACTAGACGCAAATCTCCACCAGTTACATCGAGTTGATTTAGAACGCCGGAGGGCTGTACTGCTTTTTCGCACCTAGCTCATCAGTGATCTACTCGGTTCGATTCCGCTCAGAGAGCACAGTCAGTTACGAACTACTCGTATCAGTTAATCAATGGTGTATAAATACCTTCGTGTTATTTCGCTTACTTTATTGATTGCAGTCTATGATATCAAGCAGATTAGATACCTTGATCTCAATATTTTTGACTTCCATGAAGAAATTTTGGTGAATTGTTGCTTAGAATTGAGTAATTCATAAATAGCAAATTTGATTCTTTCTATGTCACCTTGATATGGATGTTATAATCATTAGACAAACCAACATTCTTATACAACCTTCTAGAAATTATAATCACAACAACTACAATTCACTTCCAGATTATATTTTCAAATATTGATATGCAAAGATTTGGTTGATTTCAAATTACATCTCACGAACTGACAGCAGTCAGAAAGTCATTCAAAAACAGGGGGTGCTGGGCTCCTCTGTCGTCCTACTTATTCAGAAGTCAGAATTGTGTGTACACATTTCAATGACTCTTTTTTTAACTAAGTTTCACTGTCGCTTCATTCTAATAGTTTAAATCCATTAGGATGCACTATAGGCAACGTAGTTTGGAAAAAGTAAACTATATAATGAAGATACTTTTAATGCAGTACTACTGTGATGTGTGCTACTGATAAGATTTATCAGTAGTATATATTTACAGGGTTGTTCATCGGCATAAAAAACATCAAATAGCAGGGAGAAACATTTGAATTCAGAGTATAGAAATGATACAGTGTTGCGGAGAAACATGGAAGACGTGAAAGGAACACAAAGAAACACAATATGAATGCCAGGAGTAGCACAACAGGAAAGATCTGTGCAAATGGTGCAATGAAGATAAGATGTATATGATTTCGCTATATAGAGATGCTAAATATATAGCATTAATAAAAATCAGGTTTTTATGATTTACTCCATGGATATTCTGTAGTTTAGAAAAATGGACGGTGTCTACGTGAAGTGCTTTAAATTGTCAACCTTCTCCTATTGACGTTGAACCTCAAGAGAGAGGGCGAGATATAAAATAAAGAATTGATACATACTCGACGGAGTGGGATTGCATAATACTTAGTGAGATTTTGATGTACTCAACACTTGGTCGTGTCATACACACAGTATAATTTTAACAAGTTTCTACATCTTGTGACTTCAGGTGTTCCGTGTGCAGTATAGGGCTTCAAGCTTCAGCTCTACATTTTCAGTGGCAGTGGTATTACTCTTTTTTACGAGGTAGGTTTGCTAACAACAAGACTAACATTCCCTCTTTTCTGGGCTTATTATCGGCCAGTGAAGTAGGCAAGGTGTATAGAGTAATGCGTTGGCCGGAGGTTGAACCCTGACTATATGCCTGCATAACTAGTACAATAAAATGAAAAGTTGTCAAGATTAACGAAGGTTAGTCAAAATGTAATGCAGCTATAGTCAAGATGAGTAAATATAGTTGATAAAGAGTGTTGCTTAATAAGGTGAAATGTTTAAGAAGTGAATTATTATCAGAATGAGCAGTGAAAAACACAAAAAGGAAATTAAGCTGAGTGAAAGAAATTATTATTATTTCCTTTAATTCATAGAGGCTTCAGTTTCACGTCTCCATTGCGTTCGGTTCTCTGCTAAAGTTTTCACCTGGCTCCACGTCTGCCCATATGCTTTCATCTCCTCTTCACATGACTTCCTCCAAGTCACCTTCACACTGACGACCAACTCGCCGCTTCCCTTTCAGGTTCCACTCAAGGGCTTGTCTAGTGATGTCACTTGACGGTTTCCTCAAAGTATGGCCAATCCACCTCCATTTCTTCCTGCTTGTTTGTTTCACAATCGGTTCCTGGTTGGTTCGCTCCCAGAGACCCCGGTTGCTGATCTTTTCTGGCCGGCCATCTGATCTTGAGTGGTATTGAGCGAAAACAGCAGTTGATGAAGGTCTGTAGTTTGTTTGAGATGCTCTTTATGACACGCCAAGTCTCTGATCTGTACAGTAGCACTGACTTCACATTGGAGTTGAAAATCCGGATCTTAATTTTGATGCTGAGTGTTGTTGACCTCCACACAGACTTGAGAGTAATGAAAGCTTCTCTTGCTTTTCCGATCCTTGCTTTGATATCCTCGTCAGTTCCGCCTGTAGTTGAAACGATGCTTCCTAGGTAGGTAGGTAAAGGAGGTTGCTTCTTTCAGATATCTCCCATTTATCCTGATTGTTGTCTATTGTTGGTGGTGGTCTTGCCCAGGAATCCTCATCACCTCTGTTTTCTTTATGTTTACTTGGAGTCCTATCTTTGATGCTTCTTCTGCCAACTTGTGAAAGAAATAGAAAGATTTTTTCTAAAATAAGCTATTAATAATTCTAACTGTCAGAGAATTTACTCATTCAGACCAATGAATGATCTTATACCAAATTTTGGTCAAAACTTCCTATGACTCAAATCAAGCATCATTGCCTTGATTGTTGCCATCATTACCTCAACACAAAACTGAAAGCTCATTGTCTTTTAACAAACAGCATAAACAACATTTTGAATAACTGAGATGAAACAAGGGTATATTGACAAGGGTACAGGTGTACTTACAATGGATCGATAAGATTACATTGAGAAAAACTGACAGATATATACATTCAGAAAGCAATTAATTCTCAAAATCTACTAATGAAAGAAACAGAACTGAAATTGTTGAGAAGTAATGCAATCAATTTTTAGTATTTTTAATATATTTGTGCGTTGAAGTTTCTGTAGCAATTTGGTTAAGTTTTGGGGGTGGAGTTGCTAGCACCACGCCCCAACTCTCCCTCTTTATCCGGGCTTGGGACCGACTAGAAAACTAGCGAGCTAGAAATCTAGTCAGTCACCATCAACGGGAAGGATTTGAAAGAGGTTACTTCATTCACTTATCTAGGGACCATTGTCTCAACTGCGGGAGGAACGGATGGGGATGTCAGATCAAGAATCGAGAAGGCAAGAAACACATTTATTAACCTGAAACCAATCTGGAAATCTTCGTCAATCAGCATCAGCAACAAAATTCGGATTTTCAATACAAACGTCAAGTCACTTCTTCTATACGGATCAGAAACTTGGCCAGTGTGTCACAAAGAATATTTCCAACAGCCTGTTGCAGACCTTTATCAACAACTGTCTTCGTTCTATACTGAAGATCAGATGGCCGGAAAGAATCACCAATAAGAAACTATGGGAACAAACAAAACAAGAACCAATCGCTCAGTAAATATGCAGGAGAAAGTGGAGATGGATTGGACACTAGCTGAGGAAGCCGCTGGGTGATATCGCGCGTCAGGCCAACGCTCGATTGGAACCCGAAAGGGAAGCGGCGAGTGGGACGGCCAAGAGTGACATGGAGGAGATCGTGTGAAGAGGAGCTGAAACAGTATGGACTAACATGGATGCAGGTGAAAAGTACGGCAGAAGACAGAAGCAAGTGGAGACGTGTAGTTGAAGTCCTATGTTCCACTAG